GTGTGGTAGCCTGGGGAGCATGTAATGGTACGGTGATTCTCTAACCCTGGTGGCAGAGAGCAAGCTGATCGGATAGTACTGGCTCCTCTTCATTTCCAGCTGTTGAGATGCTTTAAAAGGGCTAAAAATACATTACTTTATTAATCCTTTTCCATGTAACCAATTGCTGTAGCTACCTGAGGGGTGTTATACAGTCACAAATGCAGTAAGTGGTTTGCACAACGATAAATGGGAGAGAAAACGTCCAAGATCACCTTTGTTTTTAAAATATAGTTCACTTTATTTAAAAGTTTACTGATGCTGCTGTTCACTTTATTAAAAGTTTACTGACACTGCTGTTAATGATGAAACCTTATTGATTCTTGCAACTAGAACTTACGGACACAATGAAAAATATATATCCGCACCAATAAAGAATTTAACCCCTGTGGGCTGGGAACTAAGAGTAATCCGGGCTCCTAAATTTTAATTTTAATTAATCATTAATTTTGTTGTGCGTAGCTTGACCCAAAATCATTAAGTACAAAACTATCCTTATTAGCAATATAGAGGACAAATTTTAGAATATGAAAACAGACGTTTTAAAAAGCGTTGTCTATTCGACAAGATACACGTTGAAATTGTTTAAACCTGGGCTGCTTTATTTAATGCATGATCTAATATTCAAGTGACCAGGTTGATACAGGAATAATATAGTTGTTGAATACTATATTCTTTGGGTGTCTGAAAAGAAATTTAAAATGCTGTTATAAATAGCAGGTCCCTAGGAGCATTTAACTCTTTTTGCTATTTGAGGTTTGTGACCTGTTAATGCAAAATGCACGATAGCTCTAACACAGGAATCGTCTATGCTAGCTGGAGTCAAGCGGGAAACAGAAATTGGTATTTAAAGTAAAAGGCATCTGGCTGGAGAGAACAAATCCTGGCTCAGGATTGTGGCATTCTACACCTGTAAAATGTGCTGATAGTTGTAGCAGTAGCTCTGGATTTGCCAGTTACAAGAAGTTGAAATGCATTTAAGGGAATGGCTGAGAGCCAGTTTTCAGTTCTACAGTCTCTTAAGTCCCTGGCAAAAAGGCGTTTCCTGAGCACAGAGGTACACTTGAAACTAAAAATCCTTCTAAGGGAAATAATAAAACCGAGAGCGTGCTTTCTAGCTCTCTGGCAATTATGTAACTCTTATTTGGCCAATATGCATGAAACTGGCAGCCGAAATCTTAATGTTCGTTTCTGAGTGCTATAATGCAAGAAATCTATTGACAAAATGGAGAGAGTTCAGAGAAGACAATATAAGGAAACCGAGTTAGGAGCAATGGGATGAAGGGAGTGAGATTTAGGGTGAATATGGGGGGGGGGGGGGGGGGGGGAATATTAGGCTCTAGTGATTTCCAAAGGGAAGCGGTTGTAAACCCTTTGCTTGAGACTGTTTTTCTGGTTCTTAAAACTAGACCAGATAATGTACTGTGAAGTACAGTGCTGTATAGAATAAGCCAGCTGATGTTGTTATAGGTCTGTCCCACCTCTCATTTCTATGATCAGTAATTTAGTGACCCATGTCTCCAGGAAAGGACATAAGGTACAACCATTGCAAGCTGAGGAGACAAAGGGTACAATCACAGAAGACCCAGGACAAAGATCTCAAGGAGGAGGCAGGAGTACAAAGGCAGCAGAGACATGGAGGAGAATGAGTAGGGAGAAGAGACCCGTTGTTATGAAGAGGTTGTGTGTAACCTTTGAACACTACCCTCCCCATTCAAAGGCTCTGAGTGGAGAGGACTGAGGTGAAAAATTCAAGGCACTTGAGTTTGACTGTGGAGGAGGGAGATGGAAAGTGTGGGGAAGAGGGGTCAAGTGAAGATTGATGGTACAGGCTTGGAGAGCAGAGAGGAAGAAATGATGGGAGGGAGTAGAGGAGACACAGGGCAGAGTTAACAAGTAGTGGTGTTTAAAGTGGACAGAAGCTGAGAGCCCTCAAGAGCAGATACATCCAAAGGAGGGAGAGGAAAGTAAAGAGCTCCTGCTCTTTATGAACATTTCATTAAGACACTGCACCACTATGCCATCGGACAGAGTGACAGGTACTGTAGCCATTTTACAGCTGAAGAAATTAACGCACAAAGACGTGAAGAGTCAATGCTGTACTCCCAGTGACAGTAAACCACTCTCCACCTCTAAAATCCCTGCCCTCCGAAATCTTATATAGCTTTTGATTTGCTCTAGGAAAAAGTCCATTTTTAATATGAGATTCACTTTAAAGTTTAGAAGTCTGAGTAACTTTGAAATGAGTTTCCTGTATTTTATACACACTTAGTTTTCAATGTACAATATATACACTCAATTGAACAACCAACAGTCTATTTGTTTTGTTTATAAGTATGCTGCATTAACAATTAACCTTGCCTTAATGAACTTCTATTTTTAGGAGGAAATTATTATGACAGGAACTATGTAATTGTAAATCAGCCCCTGGAGAGTGAATTCTCACAGAAATGGGACATTGAAATATTGTGAATACAAAGATCCTGGGACTATGGACCTAAGTGGGTTATGAACACTGTTTCAGAGAAGGAACTACTGAAGTCACATGCCACTGGAATGTTACTCAGCAAGTCCACTCTACTTACTCCCAAACAACTGAATTTTGCACATTGGAGAGGTGAGGTTAGTGTAATGTTATTTTTCTAATAGTCACATGACTCCATATTGAGGTCTTCCTCTTCTTAAGGCACCATTTAAGCCTACATTTCTGTAACATTTACTAGTCCGGTTAATCTTTAAGTGAAGGCAAAGATATGATACAGTAGCAAAAACTTGGCAGTTTATTTCTAAATAGCCTTTCCTGTGTCATCCATTAGGAAAGACTAGTTCATATTATACCCTTTCTCCTCAAAAGTTAAAGGAGAAGCTGGTGCTTTAGGATTCAGTTTTAATCACAAAAATCCTCTCTTGGTACAAAGTCTGTTCTAAAAAAAAAAGGACTAGCCTGGAAGTCCAGTGCTTGGTTGTATCAGATACAATGACAGGTCATTGTCCACCTGGGTAAAATTAGGCCTTTGTCTTAAGTAGTATTGCATTAAACCATAATAGTTTTTGGATTCAGGGGCCTATCAGTTGCCAGCCCATGAGCCAGGGTAGAAAGTAGACTTTCATATACAAATAGAGAGTCATATGTGCAAACATATACTGGATCAGGCTATACAAATAGAGAGTCATATGTGCAAACATATACTGGATCAGGCTAGCTTTCTAAAAGGACTTGTTGAAACCACAGTATATTCAATAGCACGCATACAAGCCGGATTTGTTTTGTAAAGGTGCTAACTAATACCTTGTGCTGTGGTAAGGTTAAAGAAGCAACCTGATGCATGCTAACTTTCTTGAGGCTCATCAGCATTGTGTACCTCCGCTAAAGACCTGAAGATACTGATGACTTCCAGAAGCACAATTTTCAGTGAAATCACAATGCTATGCAACCTTTCTTTCAGTTAATAAAGTGTTGACTATTTATGTCAGGCAGATTGTATTAAGAGGGCTCCATGGTTTTCGGTTTATTCTTTTACCCATTGGAGAAAAGTGTTTAAAGTTTCCATTATGAAGTTCTCCCAGAATTAGTGTCTTCCTAAATGCAGTTCAATATATAATGCTTTCTAAGTGAGGTATGTTCTCTGGCTCCTGTGTTTTTTGTCTTGATTATTAAACTATGAAAGGAGGAGTACAGATTAGCTAAACCAAAACATGAAAGATTGTATTGTTTCCTATAGCTATTTTGGAATAGCTATAGGAAATGTTAATGTCTCATCCTAAAACCAAATTTTTGCCACAGAAAAGTGAAAGAGGCGTAAGACTATTTTTGTATGAGAGGGAGTGATATATTTTGAATACCTGTACCTACTTGCACTTATTTACTTTTAATTCTAAAAAGCTAAAATCAAATACAGCTTTGTGAGTGTATATATTTTCTCACTGAAGCACTTGTGTAGATTTTTCTATGAAAGTTTGTCAACATACCACAAGTTTTAAATATGATTTGTGCTTTCTAGTTGTAATATAATCCCTTTTCCCTCAAAACAATGAGTAGATCACAGCTGGTGTATCAGTATTACATAATAAAGTAAAGCATGTATATTTTAATTGTAAAAACTTCTGGGAGATTCTTTAGCTTATAGTATTTTGTACTGCGTAAATGCAATAATTTTGTTTTTCACGAAGACAATAAGGAACAAAAATCACTATCTCCCAAGGCTGTGGAGAAAAGGCACAATTTTTTTAACCTGTTTGTTTTCCCAGGGACTGACAACACAGCTATAGCCAGAGTTGTCTTTGTGGCTCAGGTCTGAGACACGAAGCAGAATGAATGTTTTTGTACTTACCTCTGCCTCTTTACAGGCAGGCTCACTTCCTTGTTGAGGATGTGCAGAGCTGTGAAAACAGGTTAGCCTACCTTACCACAAGTCATTTACTTGGACTAGGCCTGTTGCCCCACCTTAGTAGTTTGCTTGGGTTTTCCCTGATAAACAGGGCCTCTGCTTCAAATAGTGAGTTACATGAGATGAGAGCAGAGACAACTGTAGGCTTGAAATGGGAGTGAGTCACATCTATTTGCTTCTTGGTAACTAATGGCCATACTTTAAATTCTTCTACTTCCACTATGCTGTGCAACAAAAGACAGGTAGATATTTCTTCATGGTTAAGCATATGTTGTAAATGTGTCAGAGGCCCCAGCATTTGCTCCATGTTGGATATTAAAATTAGCTGAAATCTCAGCTGCTGGGTGGTGGTGGTGTTTTTTTTTTTTGCTAACAAGTAGCTTTTGGTCCAGTTCTACTCCTATGACCCCTTTCAACACTAATAAGGGGGAACCAAGCAGGATCAGCAAAAATAAGATGAGTATTTGAGAACCAATGCTGTTATGCTAAAAATTAAGCCCAGTGAGACTGACTTTGTGCTGCAGTCAAATTCTATGACCTAGTGAGACATTTACCCAAGAAAAGCCACCATAGTTGAGTCATACTTTTTATTGTTAGTTTTACTTAGTAAATGAGGCAAACCTGTGAGAGGAGCAACACAATTTTACTAGATGCTCAGTGCAGTGGACCTGTTTCTTATTGAATGACTCCCTTAGTGGATCCAGCCCTCACTGCCACATTAGGCATTTAGATCCTGACAACTCTTGCTCCCCCCTGCTGTGGACATCTAAATTTCCACCACTGTGCATGTACAAAGCCACTTAAGAGGAACAACCTCAATGGGAGAGACTGGTCTGGGGATTTGAAGCCAGGTCTCCCACATCTTAAGTGTTTTCAGCACTGAGCTATTGTGTAGGGGACAGCACCACCACCTAGGTTGCTTTGAGATTAAACCACACGCCTTTCCTCGGCAGCCTTGCATAAATCCAGCTCCATGGAAGAGGAGGAATCAGATTGTCCTTTGTCAGTACGTACTCCAAGGATGAAATGTTAGGCTCCAGGACCATGGCTGATTTTTGAAAGACTCAGATTACCTCAATGAGACATTCAGTCCAGAGCGATAACACAAGGTTCTGTTTCTCTGCATCGGACTTGAGGCTCAGTTCCTTAACAGCGATAGTAGCACTTCTCCAGATTTGCTTCAGTGCATCCATGTGAGATAAAGGAAAACGTAATCCATGAGCCTAAAAAGGAAATTACCCCCAAAAAATTAGGGAAGGGTAGAATTGAGGCCTAATTGAAACATTTTACAAAGTCTCTCCCACAACACCGTGTGTGTTTGTTTTAACACGCAGCTCACCTCTGCTGTACCTGCACTGATGTGATGCAAGTGCAAACACCAACAGTGCAGAGCATCCACGGTAGGTATCCTGTTCTGGGAACATGAAGCACGTGTTAACGAACACCATCTGGATTATCATCCCTGCTGAAAGGAACATAGTGCTCCTGGGGGGTGTCACATACATTTACCTCATTCATATTTTTAGGTTGCACCACTGCCTACTTCAAAAACCACATGTACGTAGGTTGTGATGGCCACAACCTGTGCTCGCATAGGTGTCATGGGCCTGAGGGTTTTTCCGTGGACCACATCCTCCCTTCGGCCGAGTGCACAGGGAGAGCTGCACTTTCATTCTTGTCATTTGTTTCTTGCTGTTTTTTCCTCTTTAATCCAGCAGTTGCCCCTGCAGTGGAGCTCTCAAGGGATGTATCAGCGGCATAGGCTGGGATCGCCATACCATGGCTCTACTGGATATATGCTGTGACCCTGTTCTACTCTGAGTCCCCACTACAGCAATGTCAGGTGCATTGTGGGTTTTGGGCCAGGCCTTGCCTTGGACCCCACACAATGGTTAGACTTGCCTAGGTGAAGTCTAATTCCAAAGCCAGTGCAGGATACCCGTGTGCCAGGGAAGAAATTGTGAGCATAGACACACTATTTGCTACAAATACAAGGGATAGCAGTCAAGCACACCAAATTTCTCTAGTATAAACAGGGCTTGTATTATTACATTAAAATGCCAATCAAAGTGAGACTATTTGAAGTGGCACAGCAAAATTTAAGTTCTACAACCCACATACAAGAGTTATGAGGGCGTATGTAAAGCCTGGTTCCAATTACCAAAGCAAAAACAAGTGCTAGACAAATAGCCTAAAGTATCTTTTGCCTCTAAATATTTTGTACAACATAGCTGTTTTTGAGGAATCCTGCGTTCTCAGTTCTTTCAGGTCAAAGCTTTAGCTGGTTCAGATTTATGTTAATCAGACATTCTGACACATCCCAGAGGCATTGCCACTCTGCTCAGTAAAATATACATGATCCAGATGAAGCAAAGGCTAGTCACACTGTTAAAGTCATCAACATTGTCCTGAAAGGAAGGATCCTTTCAGGCATAGCGATAAAAGCACCAGTCACAGGCTCTCTAAAGGAAGAGGTCTTCATGAAGTTTACATTAAAAAAAAAAAACAACAACAACCCCACACACACTCTGTTGGCACATAACTTAATTATTGCATGAGTTTTAAAAATCACATCAAAACCCAAGTGCAGGGGTCAGACTGAGCCAACACATGGTCTGGTCTCTACAGAATGTAAGAGATTATTTGAACAAAAAACAAAACTGACTAGCTCTGTTGCCCAGAGTAATCCTTTTGAACAGCGCTGCCAGAGTCTGCAAACAGACAGAGAAACAAAGACCTATGGGTGGAACACTGCTATTTAACTCAGTAAGGTGTTAATTATGGAACCTAATGGTGAACATTTGAAATGTCACCAGTGTTAAAACAAACAGCTATTCTGGCTGGTTTTTAGAATTGGGTGCAGTGCACCCACACTTGGCTCCTGCCTCTTCCCCTCACATCCGACTAGTCTTGACAGGGAGGGCAGCAGAGCACATAGAAGGGGGAGTGAGAAAAGCAGTGAGTTTCTGCTAATCCTCCAGCACATCTTGACTCAAGAGAAAGTGAATTAAGCCTTGCAGAACAAATCTACATGAAGCCTAACTTGGGTAATTAGCCATTTAAACATGACAAGCTGTAGAGATTCCTTTCCCTTCATTGCAGGGGTAGAGTCAGCCCCGTTACACATTTAGAGCTGGTTATAGAGCACGCTAAACATCTTACTAAACAAAATAAACAACAAACCTCAGATATCCCTTCTTCATTAGTGTCATCATCCTCATTTCCCATCATGTGCCTCTCTCTCCTGTTCTTTAAAGAGTGATAGACATAAGCCATCTCTTTGCGACGCTCATCCTAAAAGACACCAGGAGGAAAACCATTTATTACACAAGACAGTGTAAGTTAATTACTTTGATCACATCTATTTACCTGCTTACTTAAGCAGCTCATTTTAAGACTAACCCACGAACTCTTACCACCCACCCTAGTCCAGCTGTCACCTGCTTTAGTGGAGACGAAGCTACAGAATGCTAGTTTTGAAAAAGTGACGTTCAGAGACTTCTGTTTTTCAGCCTACAATGCTGACTAGATGTGCGTGGGGGCAGGCATCTCGTCTCCCCTTGACCACGTGTGGCTGAAAGGACCATAGATAGATACATAACTAAAGCCATCAATAGGTTAAGACTACAGAATGGAACTTACGTTATTTACAACATGGACTTTCCTTCAGGGTGCACATCCTGCAGGGCCTTCATAAAGGACTAGATGGCTTGTTAGGATATGTATCTTGTCTACATCACAGGCCCAAAGTGATCTGAATTCGTTACTATCTCACAAATTTCAGGCCTTTGGTCAGATTCTGTGGGCAACTGTCTGCCAATTGCAAGTAGTAGTTTCTGTGACAGAGTCAGCTACCCTCCAATCCGAGCACGGCTTGCCAAGGCAAGGAAGTTTGTTGTACCTGTGCTGTAGACAGAACATTAGTTTCTAAGACTATCAAACTAGATCCTTTCTCCACTAACCCCCTTCCCCTCCGAAAAAGCCTCTGCCAGCAGGCCTTGGTTTACATTGTGTCAAGAGTACTCATCAGAGACCATGATGTTACCATCTCCTCCATGGAACAACTCAATACCCACAGCCAGCATGGCAAGGCCAAGGATAACGGAGAGACAGAGGGTTACTTACAATCATAATGTAGGCGTGGCTGCCCCACTGAAGTTAACAGAGCTGCATCCTCTTGCACAAGGTCTTTAACAAATAATATGACCTAGCTGTTCTGTAGTGCTTTTCATAAGTAGATCTCAAAGCTCTTTACAAAGGAGGTAAGGATCACTCTCTCCAAAGAGGTGAAGTGACTTATTTAATGTCCTATCTTGAAAAGAATGTGTTTCAAAAGCAAATCTTCTTTGCCAAAGAGCAGCAAGAGGTATCTGAGTACCATATGGTACCAGGCTTTTTCTGGATCTAAGGCCATTAGCCAATTCCTGGTGAAAGCCCTGTGTATGGTACACAAAATCCCTGATTAAATCTACTTTGTAGAACTCCAAAATGAAAACACTCTACATTGTAAAACAGAATTGCATTACATCACTGAAATCTCATGACAAATCCTAATCAGATGCTGGGCAACTAAACAAACACTCCTACAAACAGTCCAGGACAGCACAACAAAGCAGCAAACATCACAGCAACAATCATCTGGAGTCTATGCAGGCAGTTTCATTAGACTTACAGAATTTTCTTGATCGGGTTCCACTGTAATTATGGCATGATCTTTAAACCGCAATCTGATTTTGCTGTCTAATTTTGGTAATTTTCCACCTAAGAGAAAAACATACGGTCCTTCAGAAAGGAAGGAAACTAAACCATGCTTTGCTGAGAATTTTGTTAAGCTTTTTTCTTCCTGTAGCTTAACAAAGTCTAGGAATGAATAGCTCTACTTTTGACTTCTGCTCATTCTCAAATACAGGGAGGAAAAAGCATTCTTTCAGATTCTGAGCCGTTTACACTCACACTCAGATTCATCAGACACAAATAGCTACAACAGCAAGTTGGTGTATTAGCAACAACCTCCACCAGTTAAAGCAATATGCACTCAGAATAAATATGTAATTCTAACGATCAAGCACAACATTAAACATTTGCTTCACTTATTTTAAATAGAATAGTAATCAGTTCAAAATTCAAATCATATGTAACAAATTTACTATTATCACTTTGCCCCAATCAGCACCTTTAACCCATGGATCTCAAAGCAGTTCAACAACAGACATTAGTTAAGCCTCACAGCATCCCTCCTTTCGGGAAGGTTAGGTATTAGCCCCATTTTACAGAAGGTTAAACTGAAACTGGAGCACAGATAAAATGACCTGCCAGGATTCACACACACAGTCAGTGGCAGAGCAAGGGGTAGGAAGGATTGGCAGGAACCCTGGCATTCCTTGTGATCTAATCACTTAACAGCACTTGCTGCAAAACTTCTGAAATTTCCTCCATGCCAAGTCAGGTGCCATGGCTAGGCAGCTGATATGAGGTCATCACAGTTCATTACACTAATTATAACCATCTCATTGCTACCTTGAGCTCCCATTTGTCTGCTGCATCCAACTCTTGTCTCTTGCCTTACACCCAAGGACTGCATTTGGTGTGAATGCAAAGTGTCTACCGGAATGGGGAGTTGCTCCCATACTGAGGCCTCTAATGCTACCACAGTGCAGATAGTAATCATAATCCCCCACTAAGGGAAACAATACTAAACTTAAATGCAACCTGGAGCCAAGGGATCAGGGCTGTTCCCCAAGAAAGGCGGTAATCGGTTCATAATGAAATCCTTCTTCATGTCAGAGGATCTCAGTTCTTTGGTGTTTTCCAGCTGGTCTGCAAGACTTCTCAGAAAGCTGCTTAATCTCCTTGTTGAGTCAGCTATATCCACCTGCTGAATACACAGACACCCTCACACATGAGCCCACATTAATTATCAGAGACAATCCTAATTCACTAAAGAAGGGATAGGTCAAAATCCTCAAAGCATTACAGATGCTGGGAACCATGCTACTGTGTGGAGTCTGAAGTTGTATGAGGAGAGTGCTCACATTTGGGGCTGTCAGTATCCCTTTGAACTGTTTTTTCTCCATGAAAAAGTGAAGTTTCTAGTGAAGATCTGCTAAATCGATGACAGAGCGCTCTCCGGTCTACCCCAGTACTCCAACTCCCCAAGAAGAGTAAGGGAAGTCGACCAGAAAGCGTATCTTGTTGACTCAGCGCAGTTAGGACACCGGGGTAAACCACGTTATTCATGTACCTAGAGTAGCATGACTTAGGTCAACTTACCCCGATAGTAAAAACAAGCCTTAGCATCACTAAGAACTCCGCCAGAAGGAGGTGGCATCTGAAAGGGACCCCAAAGCAACACTACGACTGAGAGGAAAGTGTCAGAGCTTGGGAACATGTTGGATATGTAGAGAGGGCAGTTCAACAACCTAGACACAGCTTCTGGACGACCTATTCCTTGGGGTTGAAAATGAAGGTGAACTGCAAACCTCAAAAGGAGGTGGTTTTGGTACTACACAATGGGGCCAACACGTCAATAGGGCTATGAGCTGCACTCTCCTGAACATTTCTTTAACATACAGAAGTTCATACTACATTTCCCCTCACAATTTCATCTCTTTACCATCAGTAGTTGCCTTGGTATACTTGTCCGCAGAGCCACATCTTCCTTCGCTGTATCAAACACAAGCCCAGGAATCGCATCTAACAAGAAATCTCCCCAAGAACTGCAGGGTGGAGGGAAACAAAAACAACTGAAATGGTGACACTGAAATAAAGCTCAAAGACACTATCTAAGCTGCTTCTCATCTACATAGAATGGAAGCTATGTATAGCTAACTTGGATAAAGCAAGTGTCTCTTTATTAGCATATTAGCTTGCTAATGTTGAGTTTAGATTTGCACTTAAAGCAAGGTTCTTAGTTATGTCTGAACAATACAGGGTATCCTTCCCAACTTTACCGTACTTACTCTTTGTGTATGGAGTGAATTTTCGGAGACTTTACGAATAAATCCATTACTGTATGAGTTAAAATTAATTGAAAAGTTTAAGAAATTTAGCACAGCGTCAGACCTTTGACTCCAGTGGTCATAACAAAATAACAGAGTAGCTTTCAAAAAAATTACTGAACCATTATGCAGTGGCTACATTTGAAAATTTTCTTTTAGGATTAATGGTAATTTTTTGCTGTTATTTCCCACAGCTGAAAGTTTTTGCTTCAGAGGCTGACGAAAATTCCACAATTCGTTCACAATGGCTGTCATCTCCCATTGCACTCTCTGAGAGCCAGGCACAGGGTGCCCTTAGCAAAGATGGCCACTGCCTCCATTCACCTGCTCCTCACGGTGCTCTTCTTTGCCTCCTGAAAGTATAGTGGGCCAACATCTTCCCTCAGGGCAGCTTGGCTTCACTCCCAAACAGCCTTAATTCTTCCCTGTAGTGACACCATGACGAAAAAAGTGAACATGTCTTTAAAAACTCAGCTTAAACCAATCTCAGACTACAAACACTAAAATGCTTTCATAATATGGCTATTGCATGGTGTCACTGAAAGGCAGAGTTAAGGGTGTCTGGATACCTTAACTGTTGTAGTTCAGTACTTAAAAGAATTACAAACATGTTGAACTCTGATGTTGCTGGGTTTATACACCTATAATGTATTTTCCCTAAATCACAGATCTGTACTCTTAATCATGTCCATCTTGACACAGATTATGTCTGGGAATAATTAAGTCCTGAAAGGTTTCAGTTGGAGAAGAGGACTTTAGTCAAGGAGGAGTCCACACTATTCAAAAATCCCATGAAGCACCTGTCTGCATCCTAGGGTGACTACACGCCTTTGAAAAATCTGGCCCTTACTCCCTCTACCTCAGTTCCCCATCTGTAGAAGGGAGATGATAATACTTCCTCTCTTGTCCTGTTTTGTCTAGTTAGATTTAAGCTCTTCGGGGCAGAGATGGTCTCTTGCTATGTATACTGAACAGCGCTAGTGCAATGGGGCCGCCATCTCGGCTGAAGCTCTAGACCAGTGGTCCCCCTCTCCTCCCTCCCCCCGGCTGGGCCAGGAGCAGAGCCAAGGCTGGGAGTGGGGGCCAGGAGCAGGGGCCGGCGGTTGGGACATGGCTGGGGGCTGAATCCAGGCTGGAGCGGAGCTGGGACTGGGTGGCGCTCCCTTCCCACCCCCTTGTAGGGGCTGGCCGGGCCCCCGGCACTGCCCCCCAGATGTTCCTCTGTGCCCACCTGGGGGGCGCACCCCACAGTTTGGGGACCACTGCTCTAGGCAGTGCTGTCATACAAGTGATACGTGAATAATAATGCCACCACCTCTGATTCAGAAAAGTTTACCATCTTTTTCTCCCTATGTGTCCCAACTGCTGCTGTTCATTGGGTGTATGTGGGGAAGGAATCTTTGGCTGATGTTAGTAATTAAACACTGGGGCGGCTTCCATCTTAGACCTTCCCCTTCCCTCCTGCCTCTGCTACATTCTAAACAGAGGCAGCTCTGACCGTAGTTTTTAAAAACAATCAATTCCCGCTTCCATGAGCTGCATCGTTATTGCATGGCTACACTGCAGAGCCAGTTAGAGACCAGAGATGCACCACGAAATTGAAGCGCCAGCAGCCTAAATAGGACAGTGAAATACTGGGAGTTCCAAGCTGAAGAAAACCCCACAACCAAAATATTAGGACTAGCCAAAGATTCCCTTCACATGGCAGGGAGTGACATCTTCAGCCACTAAAACACTTGGAGAAAGAGCACGCACTGGTAAAGTAGATAGTTAACTTTAAAATGGTGATTTTCAGGTAATTTTATAAACACATTAACATGTAATGCAAACACACACATTTTCAAAAGGACCACATTAATTTAATTTGTGTTTATATATGCACATACACACAAATAGGCAGGGCTGATGGCTGCTTGTTACTAAGGTTGCCCAAAATTTCCTGTTAAATGACCCTGTTCTCTAATTAAAGTTATCAAACTTTAGCCAAACATTTGGGCTGAAATTTTCCACGTTGGTGTCCGCCTCAGACTGAATTGTTTTGAACAATTTTAACCAAAACAGTTCAGCTGTTTCCAAGATGAAGGATAGGGAAAAATATATTTTGCCCATGTTAAAAAATTCTGCAAATCGCTTCTCTGAAATGCTCTAGAGACCACATGCTTTGGAGCAGGGATTTGAAATTCAGCAGGGAGTGGTCTTTGTGTCGGGGATGTGCCTTTTGCCATCCCCATGAAAAATCCACCTAAATTTGGCTACGTTATAAGCCTCTGAAAAACTGTACTTTGCACATGCTCAGTAGAAACTTCTTGGACTTCAGCAGCTAAAATCTCCTAAGATTCCATCTTCAAAGAGCACGCTCCCTCCCCTCACAGCTACGAGTGTGACCTGGCTACACATGCACCATCCCAACAGAGAAACTGAGCATGCTTCAGCCCAAATCTAAAGGGGAAAAGGCAGACTCTCCCTGTAATTGCTGCTCTGGGATAGAGCTTGGCACCAGAACTGAGAGCAAGGATACTCTCTCTCCTGTGCTTTCAGTGAGCCCCCACTTCCAGGCAGTGGGAAGGAAGAAGCAGTGTGATTCAAATGCAGAGGAGACAAGAGGTGGGTCTGGGAACTGAGAAGAGGAGGAAGAAAAGCTGACTGGGAGTTTAGTGTGTAGGGGTGGAAGGGCAGAGACTGGCACGGGCTGGGCACAGAGAGAAGCGTAGGCACAAGGGGGCAAGTTAAGGTTGCACAGGAATCTCAATTCTGGCATTTCCTTTTGAGTGCTTAACTTTGCAACCTTAAGTGTTCTTATAATAGTTGTTTGTGTTTCATACATGTTTAGAGTGCAACACCACACAGCTTGCGGTGTATTTAGAATTCTGTATATCCACTTCTTGGGTATACATGTTACTTGATGAATGCAGACATCCAGCCATATTAAACTGCCTACATAATCAAACCCCCATCCTGCTGTTTTTCTGTGAAGTCAGTGGAACACAAGCTAAGACTGCAAGTAAACATCACATTCATTCCATTGCCCTCAGTCACTCAGCCAAGGAAAACAAAGCTTACAGGAGACACTGCTCATGATGCCTAGGAAGAGCACAAAATACGACTTTGACGACTGTTGCATTTTAAGAGCTCTTGGAAATTTTCCCCAAAACAAACAGCACGTACCACACGTTCCTAATATTTATAGTCAGTCTCATCACTGCACTTTACCCGCAGGCATGAGAAATGCAGAGTAGTAGCTTTTCCTAAGATTGCTGCCCATGCTGCCTGGATTCTTGAGAGAATGTGAAGGAAGCTTCTATCTTGTTACCAATAGCCTGACGAGCATGGATAAATATTAGGTCATACTTTTCCTCTTAAAGGAACAGCACTCTTCTAGCCTCTTGCTCATTCTCAGAACACTCTAGGGAACATGGTCCTTGATGGTACTGCTTCTCAAGTAACTCAGTGAACTGGCATTGTGTTACGCCATAGCTGATGGATTATGTTCACTCAACACCAGCTTCTCAAGCCTTCAGCAGTTATGTGACGGGGATCTGATGCAATCCAGTGTAAATCCTCCTCTTTCAATATTATTTAACAGATATTATAATAGTTGTAAGGACTGACTTGAGCAATTCCTCTTCTGATCATAAAAAGTGATCACTGCAAGTGGATCCATAAAGCAGTGAGCTTCCTCAGCAAAATCTGCACCATGACAAGACAGCATGAGTTCTGCTAGGCCAAAGCAGGTCAGGAAGTATGGTTCTAATGCTGCCTCTCGATAATACGAGCAACAAACACACTGTAAAGTAACTTTTGATTACCAGAACTAAATCGCACTGTAAATCAGTAAAGACTCACCCACTGTATGGGAGAGACATGTTCTCTGCTCAAAGCCATTTCATCTTAACCTTCAGAACATGAACCAATTTCCAGGTGGAGAAAATCTGAAAGCTGGTCATTTTACATGGTCACCAGTGAATCAAGTAGGAAGTGCTATTCCAGGGTTCAGTTTTCCAGCAGCTATAAAAGGTGGTGTATTAGGTTTGTGTTGCTTTGGAGTATGGGCAGGATGAGACACCCCTACTGCTAGAAATCCTTCCCACATCTGATTCCTCACCCCGACCATTGAATCAGAGGCCAGCAGTGGAGAGACAGGTTAAGTGATAGCAGCGATCCCCCAGTGGGAAAAGGCATCAGCAGGGAGAGGGTGTAGAAAACAAAGGTGGAAGTTAATCTCTGGGGAAAGGCTGAAACGGGTAGATGAAAAGCATGAGGATATTTTTATAAAGGGACGGTTTACAGCTAAGACAAGTTTGGGTGCCTGGTGGAGGTGGCATAGGAGAGAAAAACTAACAACTCATCCTTGATGTGCTTAATATTCTCTGAGTTAAGAAATGTGCAATAAACTCTCCAGTTGGTGAGAGACTGTATAAAATGCAACACTGAATTTGTACCTGTCACCTTATCTTCCACCTAAAGTCCCCAGGTGATAAGTAATAAGTAAGTAATTAAAAATGATTCTGTTAAAAGCCGCCTACTTGCTATGTTTTTATGCAGCAATTAACTAATGATTTGCTTTCCCAGATCTTTATTACTCCTACATGAATACTGGCTTAGATTTCATTACAGTGTTGCACTTCTATGGTATCATTCACCAGAAGATCTTATAGTACCTTTTCAACAACTTTCACAAAAGCCCTGCCAGGAAGGCAGGTAAAGTATTATCCCTATATTACTGATGGGAAAACTGAGGCACAAAAGCTAGGGTATTTGCCCATGCTCACACAGCAAGTTCAGTGGCTGAACCAGGAACAGAACCCAAGAATCCCAACTACAAGGCCTTTGCTCTAGCCAACAGACAGTACCACTTCTCTGAAACACACATATTTTAGGTCACCTTTAGCATTTATCCAAACAGTGTCCAAGGAAGCCACGCTATGAAAGTGGTAAAGAATAATTACTTGTTTTGGTAGGTGCTGATGGTCACATGAGTAGAATATGATCCCCCTAGAGGAGTGTCAGCTTGGTGGATAGTTCCTCTTGGAAAGTATAACAAATCTCCTGGCTAAAAGAAAATAGAAGCAGTTAAGTATTTGAGTCTCTTGGTAACTACCTTACTGCAATGTTATCAAAATAAAGAAATTACTCCCTAGATATCAATGTTGACAGTTGAATATAAAATCATGCAATACAATAGACCCACCTTTCCATGCCACATAGCTGAGCGATGAAAGAGGACCTCTTAAGGATGGAGAGCCTGAGAGCTGAACTAAATTCTTCCTTATTATTTGTGAAGTCAAGGCAAATTAAAATTTACAATATGCACATTAAACTAGATACACACAAAATGAAGAAGTGACTGAGATCAGCCCATTGACAAAGTGAGCCAGTGGAAGAGTGACAAACAAGTGAAATGCTATCTGGATCCAACCTAACACCCTTGAAAGGGAAAAAAACTAGAGTTGCCTAGGAAAGCTAATAAAACCCATCTATGCTAGGTACTAACGTACTTTTAAACACAGTTTAAGCAGTTCTGGTAACAGGTCTTTAAAAAAATGACCACCCATCCTTCCTCCCACCACCCTCCTGTCTTAACAAGCCTTGTGAGCAAGGGCTCTTTAAAAGTGATGGCAATTTAGCAGAATGGAAATAACAGAAAATAAAGACGAGAGAGCAGAGAACAGACTGACAAAGGAACACCACCTTGAAGAAAAAATTTGCACCACTAAAAGAAACGCATCACAGAAAAATATTTCAGGCCCAGCGCAGCTCTGCAAGAAGATGCCACCACCAACCACATGCTTCAGTTCCCAAGATCAAATGTTACACAAGCACTGCCAAGGATTTGGTTAACTTTATTCCTAAAATTGATTTTAATTAGATATGTGACTGCTACTGCAAATAAGGCTAAATTTACAGCTTCTCCCATTAAATGCTGAATACCTGAACAATGTATTCCAAGAGAGAGTCATAAAATAACTATGGTAAAACACAGAATAAATTTTAGTCTTAAATTTCATTTATTTGCCAGGCTCAAACCACTCTTTAGGCAGATTAGTGGTCTTAAAAAAAAAAAGATTTCAAGTGAATACTCTTCAAATGGCTTCTTCAAGTAGGTGAATTAAAGGTCTCCTCCAATTACAGAATTTCACAGGTTTTAGCAAGATCACTTATGTTTGCCCATTTATAAAGAGCTGTGGTTTGTCATAGGTAAACCACATGTGATTCACTTTCCTTTTAACAAGCTTCCCTCTGCCGTTAATAAATTCTCTTGATTATCTATCACAACTAGAAAGGATCCACTTGTTGTCTTGTGGAGTAATTAACTTACGTTCTAGCTCACCTAGAGAGGAGCACCTCCTACAAGGAGTGCACCTAACTCTCCGGTATGTGTTAGCCCCGTTGGGAGCTCCCCACAGGAGAGTTACAACAGAAAAGATTGTAATCAAATGCTAACATTGGTTTATTACTTCTTTACAGAATGATTCGTTAATAACAACTTTGAACTATCTTGCTTTTCTAAATTATGGGTTTCCTGAGGCATGGTAAGAAACCTTATCAGTCAAATTGTGGGGGGGTTATATCCCTGACCTTACATTATGAAGAACAATGGCTAATCATTTGTCCTACCTGATCTACCTTTCTCTAGACTATCATTTTGGTGATTAGGGAATAAAGTTACTAGGTGCTCAACAATACACAAAAGGGGAACTGATCTACTGGGTAGAAAGAAGTCAGTTTACAGTGTCACTCGTCAGAGCTGACCAACACTTTAAGGGCCAAATCCTGCTTGCCTTATTCACTTGATAGACCCACTGACTTCAACAGACTACTCATATGAGTAAGGCAAAGCAGGATTTGGGCCCAAGTCTTTAAGGGAAAACTGGTTCATACATAAGTGCATTATCAACATTAAGATGCTATAAATTAAGGACTGTGAAATAATTAGGAGGACCATGGGTTCTCAACCTAGGGGGTCACAACCCTCAGGAGGGTTGCAAACACGTGACAAAAGGTTATGGTCACACCTGCCTTTCCCTTCTTGCTAAAGGGAGGCGGGATCCCAGCTAGATAGATGGGGAAGTGTTCCCCAGTATGAAAAGGTGGATAATTTAACTGAATTAGCTATTGGTTAACTCTCATGGAGCTGAGCTCTGTGTTGGATACAGGTAGCAAACCAGTCCTTACAGTTCTCTGATGAAGAGAACCAAGTTCCACAGATACAGGCTGCAGGAAGTGGCGCAGGCCGAGGGATGTGCTGGCCACTGCTTCCCACAGCCCCCACTGGCCAGTGGGAGCCACGATCGGCCAAACCTGTGGACATGGCAGGTAAACAAACCGGCCCGGCCTGCCAGGGGCTTTCCCTGAACAAGCAGCGGACCGGCTTTGAGAACCACTGGAGTAATGTACTCTTTAATGAGATGAAGGGTACTAGAGTATGGCCCACCATATGCAACAAATGAAAGTGAAAAGGAACTATATTCATTAGACTCTGGATCAAATCTTACAACCCCTCAGACTTCTATTAAAGTCAATGAATTTCTCATTTATAATACTCACAACCTACTTCCGTCCAAAGCCAGGTTTTGACTTGAATCTGTAATGCCATACACTTGGAAAGAGTCCATTAACATGAGTTTCTCATGCAGAGACCTTGCAGGATTTGGCCTTATGACTGACACAAAAGGTAGAGAAGCTCATCATAGAACCACAGAAACGTAGGAGTGCAAGGGACCTTGGGAGGCCACCTAGTCCAGCCCCCTCGGCTGAGGCAGGACCAAGTAAACCTAGGCCGTCCCTGATAGGTGTTTGTCCAACCTGTTCTTAAAAATCTCGTGATGGGGATTCCACAACATGTCTTGGAAGCCTATTTCAGTGCTTAAGTATCCTTAGAGTTAGAAAGTTTCTCTGAATATCTAACCTAAAATTCCCCTTGCTGCAGATTAAGCCCATTACTTCTTGTTCTGCCTTCAGCAGAGATGGAGAACAGTTATTTGCAGTTTTGGTCCCAATATAGTAGAGAGACAAGGTGGGTGAGGTAATATCTTTTATTGGACCAACCTCTGTTAGCGAAAGACAAGTTTTCGAGCTTGTAGAGAGCTCTTCTTCAGGCTGAGAGCCTCTCTCTTTCACCAACCCAAGTTGTTTCCAATAAAAGATATTATCTCACCCACCTGGTCCCTCTCTAGAGAATAAGTGATCACTGTCCTCTTTATAACAGCCCTTAGTGTATTTGAAGACTGTTACCAGATCCTCCTTCGGTCTGCTTTTCTCAAGGTTAAACATACGGGTTTTTTCAACCTTTCCTCATAAGCAATGTTTTCTAAACCTCTTATTTTTGTTACTCTCCTCTGGACTCACTTCAGTTTGTCCACATCTTTCTTAAAGTATCCAGTTTGGGGCACCACAAAATACTCCAGCTGCAGTCTCACCAGTGCCAACTAGAGTGGAACAATTATCTCCCATGTCTGACATATGACACTCCTGTTAATACACCCCAGAATTATATCACCCTTTTTTGCAACTGCATCACACTGTTGACTCATATTCAATTTGTGATCCACTGGAACCCCCAGATCCTTTTCTGCAATACTACCACCTTGCAGGTCTTTCCCCATTTTATAGTTGTACATTTGATTTTTCCTTCTTAAGTGTAGTACTTTGTACTTGTCTTTACTGAATTTCATCTTGTTGATTTCAGACCAGTTCTACAATTTGCCTATAGGATACCCGACTGCCCTTTTCGCCAGACTGTTTCCAGTGCTCTGAATATCATTTTTATAAACACATTCAGGGCATTCTTCTTAAACAATGCATCAGAAAATAAAGTTATTACACTATTGTGTTTCACAGCCAAAGCCAAGAAAGCCATGTGCAGCAAATACTAGTACCTTTAATATGAATTCATGTGTTGGATTCCCAATCTGATCCTCTGATTCCACATTGTACTCTCGAGCTAAATGTACAGTAGGTTTGTAGAGACGCCAGTGTTTCTCTCCTTCCAGCTGAAGGATAAACACCTGCAAAGGGCCACAAGACAATATGCAACAAAAAGCCATGCTGTGCCTCAAACCTCCAGCTGCTCAAATTTTGAACTCTGAAAAAACCCAAGGGACTAAGTGAGAGAGATAGGTAGCAAAGACAAAAAAAGTCGAAGTGATGGCCTTACTGGTGACACCCAGAGTTCTATAAAGTTCAAAAATAGTTCTCTGCCAGTCACATAAGAACACAGAGCATGTGAAATAGCTAGTTGCATAACAGTTCCAAATGGAACACTGAATTCTATCGAAGGCTTTGGAGACAGCTGAGAGGTACATTCTGCATGTGTTAGGTAACTAAAAAGTATGTTTGTGTGCAGCTAAAATTCCTTTAACAAACAAAACTTCTAGATGCATTTATCTGAAGTGAAATTAAAAATAAAATAAAAACAACCTCTGATTCATGAGGAGACATTTATGCCTTTTATTTGTAATATTTCTAAAACCAACTAGAAAATATTTGTTTTATTTTTAAAACATGACAGCTAAAAGAACAGAGTCAGGCAGCGTAAGTCCCCAACTTCAGGTTTTGTTTTTTTAGTAAGTTTTATAAAATGTAATGTTTTTACATTGTAATGTAAATAACGATTTTGTTATTTTTAAAAGTTAAATGAAGACATGTCTCGATTTAAGGTTTCCCTGGCAGCATTTACAAACTAGTCACTCTAGTGTTGTGCTACTAAACAAAGTACCAGTGTGCCAGTCTATTTCTATTGTACAAGCTGAAGAAATTGCAAAGAAAAGAAGATTTCCAAGTTTTTACAGTTTTAATAATTGGAAGGTTTGACCCCAAGAAGTGCTAGGCACCTACAACTCCCAATGAAATCAGCAGGCTCTCTCAGGATCAGGCCCTTGATGCATTCTAGGTAACAAAGGTAGGTCTGGAAGTTTTTAATTGATTTTTTTGACCTGACTGTCACTTTTTAAAATCACCACCACTGCTGTAACACTTCTACACTGAAAGACAAAGGCTGCTGGGAAGCTTCTATAGCTTGTCGGCATCAACTTAAAATCCCACACAACAGCTCTGGAAAGCACATTTCACAGGACATTACCATCAAATTACTCAATACCTTTTCTTTAAAATGAAAGAACCCTTGTCTGTTACTTTGACCAAATCTATACCTAGACAGAACATAAACCTGTCCACATATAAATGCACTCAAAGCTATCCAATAAGTGGATCCATTTAATGACTTCCATAAAGTGAACATACTTCCACCCTTGGAAACGCTGCTTGTAAATTTACAGATAGCAAGCTTGTTCTCTCACCTCAACATCATCGTAGTGGGGAGGCAGACCCTGGGACCCTGGAGGAGTAATGTAAACATTGGAGCCAACCAAAGAGCCAAAGTAGCATTCCAGCTTCTCCTGGATCCTCCACAACTCATCCTTTAAAGAAAGCAAGTGAAATTACCACAAATAAACGTTACTTCTAAAAGCAAGTGTGGCATTTGTTTTTTTTAAAGTAATGTTTGATGTATTACTCTAACTATGGTATCGGTCCACACAGAGGAACTTAAGTGATGGGAGAAACTGTAAAGGTAGTTTGCCAAATGTTTTGTGCTAGGCCACAGGCCTATTAGGAGTGCTCCGAAAGATCGAGGCCTACATGCAGCAAAGCAGCGAGTTATTGGCTTTAATGAAGGTAAGTGACACACCCGCAACAGGGACTCCAAGTGTTGCTGTCACTGTCACTGAGGCAGGGAACCCAGGGCACTGGAGCTTTGCCTAGGACGGAGTCCGACGAAGAGGCAAACAGCGAGCCATAATAAGCAGTACACAGGAACAGCTCATGAATATATAATTAGGTACTTTTTAAAAAGGGTTTTTTTGCCACCTGGCAAAGGGCCATTCAGGGCAGACAAAACCAGCCCAAAGCTGATGATAGTTGGTTTTTTATGTTTTACAGTGACCTGTCAGCTCCGAGAAAGCAGAAGTTCCTTAGCTAGGCCGTAACAAAGTCTTCCGCAGTCCCTTACACCAAACAATGGAAGTTTGGAGTCCTACTAGAGAGGGATGCCAGTTGCCTCACTAGAACATGTCCATGGCTGAATGCTGTGTGGAACAGCAGAAAAAAATTAGCTGTGAAGGTAACCAGCAAGCCAGGTGCCAATCTGGAGGTGATATGCTGCCCTGACTGCTATGGAGAATAGGTAGAAGGTACCTCTACCTTCCCTTCTTTATTATTTCTACAGATTTCTACATTTCTCTATTATTTCTACAGATTCTAAAAACAATGCGGCTAAGGGGAGGGAAAAAGAAACCAGAGTCAGTCAATCAATCTGTGAATAATATCTTAATGCAATCAATATATATAGTGTCTCTATTATACAGCATAGAATCATAAAGAGAGAGTAAAAGGTCCCAGCCCTGTTACTAAAGATACCAAATACAACACAATCAAATCACATTTAGAAAACAACGTAAGTTCTTCCATTATTCACTCAGTTCTAAGACACTAAGCTAGAATCTCTGACCATTGTTTTTTTTCCCGCCCTCAGCCCGCTCCAACCTTTCCTAGTATCAACATCTGGATATTTTTAGTGGTATGCCTCCAAATATAATTTAAAGATATTTGGTGTTAGAACTTCTAGTGTCTATACTTCAGTGTTATGGAATTACCCTGTTATTTAGGCCCAAAAAATGTATTTTAGCTTTTAAATCAGACTTGCAGAGACACATGTTGGAAGATACTTTTAAATATCTCCAAAATGTAAAAGAGTTGAGTTACTCTATGAAAGATGTTGAATACTAATTATTACACTGCCACTGCCAAAACCTGTTGGTTTACAGTTAAAGATTCTTTCATGTCAAACCATTGTGTGCGCAACACAAACACACACACTTTCCTCCAAACCCTTTATAAACAAGGAAAGACTCAAGCCAGCCTTATCTCCCTGAACACATACACACAGGCTTATCCAGTTATCCTAAATATAACCCACACTAGGAGAATGTGGGTCCCTGTGATTGGTTCATAGGACAAGTTTGAGTCTTTTACAATTTCCATCTAGAGCCCGTCAAACTTTTCTGCATTTTGATTGTTCAACAACAAAAAAGAATGTTTTGTGAAAACTTTCACAAAACAATAAATTAATCCCATTTTTCAACCAGCTTTAGAGCAGGTCAAGATGTTTCAAAATACCAGCAAAAATATTTTTCATTAAAAAAAAATTAATTTTTCCCCAATCAGCTCTTCTTGCAGTTAGGGGATTTTTGACCTATGATTACAGTCAATAGGACTTGGGCTCCTAAATGCCTTAGGTGTTTGTGAAAATTTTACCCCAAGCCTTTTAGTTCAACCAGTAAAGTCTCATGCTTTTAGCACTGATGGTCTAAGTTTCAAACCCTAATGATAGCTCCCCACCAGAGTCAGTTACGCTACACTATACCTCCACCAAAACACCCCTTCCGTTTGGGGGTGAAAAAAGACATACAATGCACACATGAAATTTCTCTAACTCATATCCTAAAGCCAAATCTTAATGCCAGCTGCACAACATGCCAATAAACAGTCCAAACATGGAATGTCTCAACATTGCTGAGCTTAGTTATGGTTTGGCATTGCAGCTATCCAAACTGCTTTTATTACTGCCTTGTATGTTCTCAAAGAAGGTTGCTCCCATTATTCCTCTAGTTCTTTTTAAACCCTTTTTATTAATTGCATAAACGAGTTCTAAAATATGCTGCCGTCACCCACATCTGACAGACACGACATGCTTAAGGAATTACACCCATATCGGGGTCCAAAATCAATGAATAGCCTGAAACAGAGGATGCCTTCCTGCTACCCTTCTACAAGAAGGCAAAGGAGTGCTATCAATTTATGTGCATTCAACGAACACTCTAGACTGCACTATCCACTCCATCTTTAAATGCCAAATATGACATTGAGCCCCAGGACTACAGTGAAATCAAAAACACCCTAAGCAAGATATTACATTTGGGGCACAATTGTAACAGATATACCTCCCAAGAGACTAATACAAAATTAAACTGTAAGTTGGCATAATTGTGCCTAATACCCAGCTCAGGGTATTGACATTTCATCCCTTTGTAGACTATACGTGGAACCATCCTCTCCTTCCCAGGGTTACTGATTAAATCAGTGCACAGTGAACGCTAAAAAGTAAGAAAAAGACAAGCAAAAGAGAAAGCAGAGTGAGCGGTTGCTAAAATGGACCATGCTACTAATTATGCTGTAATTCAATACTAGTGTGTTTTGTTTATAAGAAGGTGGAGTGTTTTGGAAATATTTCACACCTTGCTGCCTTGCCTCAAAAGAACCGGTATTAAAACCTGCACTTGCACACAGAAACAAAAACAAGAAGGGGTGGGTGCGTGAACTTTAAGACGAAAATAAAGATGGGTAATAATTAAGTTTGTGTTTATCCTTCCCTAAATTACAATGGTAACAAAACAAGCTTTTAAGGAGGAGTTCTAATCTTCTTACACCATGGATCAGTCTGTAGACATGCCCCTTGCTAAAGCATGGAAGGATGGTGCATAGAGCAAAGTATGAAATAGTGTTTTAATTCAGACAGTTCATTTATAAAGTAGTAGGTGTTGACAGCCTGCTGGCCAGCAGCTTAAACCAATTTCCCCCTGATTTCATTAAGATACATTGTGATACACTAATATACACTGTGCATCCAACCTGACTGAGGCAAATAAGACAGCAGCTAGGTAATATGCAGCATTTGTATTTTACAAAAACACATAATAAGCAGGACATGAGCCACAATCTGTGGGCAACAGTAGATCTAACCTTAAATCTCTGAGGCTGGTGAAACTGTATCGTTGCTTTTTTCTGATCAAAGTCTCTCTTCAGCTGCATATAGTTCACTTTGCCATCTTTATTTAAAACCTTCTTTTTTCCATTCACACATCTGCAGATATTAAGATCTCTTCCATAGTAAAAACCCTGGCTGGACAGCTCCTTCAAATCCATTAATTGGAAGAGAGACTGGTAGTAAGCAGCCACTGAAGGGTCATCTCTCTGAATAAGCAATGGCTTTTGTTCCCAGTACTCCTTGAAGAACTTCTCTTGTTCGATGGGAAAGATCAAACTTTCAAAGACACTGTCTGGGCTGTCATAGTTCATAGGTGAAGGCGGGCAAGATGCTTCCACCTTTGCTCGTTTACATGGTACATGTACTTTCCTTTCTGTTTCGGCTTGTTTCCCTCCTTTCTTCGACATGTTCCTGTTAAAGTTAATAAAGAAAGTAAGGCCACTAGAAACAATACAGTAAATCAGCTAAGGGGTTACAGGCCCAGATCAGCCCCTCTCAGTTTAATACATGACAACCTGGGGCAGGGAAACTGCATGAAGAGCTCCTTTCCGATTCTCCCCTTCTCCTCCAAATTATTCCATAGGGACAAGGGAGAACATTCACATGTACCATGCACCTCAGTTCCTCTCACAAACACTTAGTGATTCCCAAAGACCTCTGCAGGTAGCTGTTGCTCACTTAGACCCCAATCCTGCAACTGGCTTCACATTTTTGGGGGTACTGTAGGGTTGATTTATGATTGTTGGCTGTCTCAGGTTGGCAATACTAGCTCCTCATTTATTTCTGACGACTGCCTTCAATCTCACAGTTTTACCCTTACGAAGAATGGTCGCCGCTTCTAATTTTTGTCAGCAGCACTGATATCACAGGCTTAGCTGGCAAGATGGCCAACACCTCCCATGGCTTCCAGTGGGGGTGGGGGAAATTAAGCCAGCCTGACCTCAGGGAAGATGGTGGCCTCTTAATAACCACTGGAAGGCCAGAACATGGAGGTGCTGGAATGACCCTGTAGGAGCAGCAAGGAAGGTGAATGTGTTAGAAAACATGACAGGAAACTATGAAGAATCAGGGGGTTCAGGAAAGGGCAGGGAGGATAAGTCACACGCTGAGGAGGGCGCAGTACAATGTGATGGATAGGGGACTGTCAAGGAAAAGGGAAGGAAATAAGGGGGACAAGTGAGCGTAGGGAGTAGAAGACTGTGAGGGAACATGGAAGAAGATGTGAACGGGGTAGCTGGCTCTCCTGTTTAGTTAGGGTGGGGGATAGAACAGGAGCACCCTAGGAGATAGAGTGTAAGCAGAGTAGCAAACTGGAAGGCATTTGTGTTTAAGGTTGAATTTTGAACCTGAGATCATCACATAAGAATTTAGGATGAGCAGCTTCCCTCTAAAGGTAAAAAATTATGACTTAAAAGCAAGCCAACACACAATTATATTTTAAAAATCTTATGATTTGTGAATGCTAGGCACTGGCAATACTCAGTTTATAGGAAAGAGAAAAAAATTACACTGGAAAGAATCAAACTGGTGTCAGCCTTAACAAAGCATTAAAACTATCAAAACACTGAGGCCTTTCTGTTGCCCCTACAGAATTATACACTCTAACGGGATATATTGTAAGGCTGCACTTTGATCTTGTGCAAAACGGTCAAGCTTTGTGGTTTATACCAGGGTGGATTTAATTTAAATCAAATTGATTTAAAAATCAATAGTCAGGAAGACTCAATTTAATAATGGATTTCTACATAAAAGTGCATTCTTGTTGGTTGTTATAACCTTAATACATATTCTTCACAACTCAGAGATAGACATAGGTTTCATTTTTAGAAGGTACACACTTATACATTTTTAAACAGTGATTTATTTTGAAAACTTTTCAGATTAGTTTTACAGCTATATCAGAAAATAATTGGTTATTTCATTTACCAAAGGTAACTGAAGCCGTTATTTATGAAGTCATTGGGAGGTGAACTATCTCCAATTCTACAGGTTAATCATTAGTATTTGGAGGATTTTCTTGCCATGCTGTATTAGGAGAACATCACCAGACAGACATTTAAATTGTTTTATTTAACTAAAACAACAACGCTAAGTATTATGGATTTTTTTCTTCAACAGCAAACATATAATATTTTAACAAAACAAGCATATGTCCCTCGCTTCTCACATTTATCTCCAGACTTCTTCTCCTTCTCCAGATCTAGTCCGCAGCCAACAATGTTCTATTCATTGAACTTTTTGAAACTTTGCACTTTTAGAGAGAGGTAAGGGATTAGGGTGACCAGATGTCCTGATTTAATAGGGACAGTCCCAATTTTTGGGTCTTTTTCTTATATAGGCTCCTATTACCCCCCCATCCCGATTTTTCACACTTGCTGTCTGGTCACCCTATAAGGGATTGACTCTGTGTTCACAAATTTGCAGAGGGACAACAGAGTTGAGGTTTCTAATTTCTCACCTCTATATATTATTTATTTACTTAAAAACATTTTTGCTGTTAAGAAGCATGTTACCTCTGGAGACACAAATCCACAGTTTGAGAACCGCAAAACTAAGCATCTCTGATGGTATCTTCTAGACTCAGCACTGAGTCCCATTGGGTAGATAAAAAGATTAACCTAAATAATCTATACAGAAGCCTGTGGAACCCCATAAAATTGGGTCCCTAATCCATGAACTATTGGAACTCATTTACAAAACTTTTCTTAAATATTACATGAATATATTGTCTCATACTATAGAATTAGAATTTATAATCCCTATTCCATGATGAGATAGTTTTAATTAAGAGGCATTATAGCTCAAAGATATCTTTAGATAGGTTTTTTCCTCAAAAAGTATTTTATCAAAAAAATCCGATTTAAATAAAAAAATCTGATTTTTTTTTAAAAATCATTGATTTTCATCCACCCTGGTTTATACTGTCACTGGGAACCTTTCATTACAGACTAGCAATTGTACAGTTGAAAGTCATTTATTTTGCTCTTCTAGGCAAACAAAATGCTTGCGTGTCATTATGTAAAAACAAAGTCAATTCATCACATTGCTTCAACGATGCAGCGACACTTTAAAAAGGCAGAAAGGTAGCACATAGTGTACTGGGGAGAAGTAAAAATGCTGAAAATGTTAGAATCTACTACTATAGATACATCAATAACACAAATGTAAACAAGTTTAAGTATCTGTACTTTTAAGACCTATACCAATCACACCAGCCTCTTGGCACATTTACTTGTTTTTAAATGGAAACTTTAAATGTAATCTAGGGCTGTCGATTTATAGTAGTTAACTCACGCGATTAACTTAAAAAAATTAACTGCAATTAAAAAAAGTAATCGCAATTAATCGCACTGTTAAACAATAGAATGCCAGCTGAAATTTATTAAATATTTTGGATGTTTTGCTACATTTTCAAATATATCAATTTCAATTACAACACTGAATAGAAAGTATACAGTGCTCATGTTATATTATTTTTATTACAAATATTTGCACTGTAAAAATGATAAAGAAATAGTATTTTTCAATTCACCCCATAAAAGTACTCTAGTGCAATCTCTTTATTGTGAAAGTGCAACTTACAAATGTAGATTTTTTTGTTACATAACTGCACTCAAAAACAAAACAATGTAAAACTTTAGAGCCCACAAGTCCACTCTGTCCTACTTCTTGTTCAGCCAATTGCTAAGACAAACAAGTTTGTTTACATTTACGGGAGATACTGCTGACTGCTTCTTATTTACAATGTCACCTGAAAGTGTAAACAAGCGTTCGCATGGCACTTTTGTAGCCAACGTTGCAAAGTATTTACATGCCAGATATGGTAAATATTCATATGCCCCTTCATGCTTTGGCCACCATTCCAGAGGACATGCTTCCATGCTGATGATGCATGTTAAAAAAATAATGCATTAATTAAATTTGTGACTGAATTCCTTGGGATAGAATCGTATGTCTCCTGTTCTGTTTTACCCACATTCTGACATATATTTCATGTTATAACAGTCTCGAATGATAACCCAGCACATGTTCATTTTAAGAACACTTTCACAGCAGATTTGACAAAACGCAAAGAAGGTACCAATGTGAAAGTTCTAAAGATAGCTATAGCACTTGATCCAAGGTTTAAGAATCTGAAGTGCCTTCCAAAATCTGCGAGGGATGAGGTGTGGAGCTTTCAGATGTCTTTAAAAAGCAACACTCTGATGCGGAAACTACAGAACGTGAACCATCAAGGTCCGCTCTGCTTTGGATCATTATTGAGCAGAACCTGTCATCAGCATGGACGCATATCTTCTGGAATGGTGGTTGAAGTATGAAGGGACATATGAATCTTTAGCGCATCCGGCATGTAAATACCTTGCGATCCCGGCTACAACAGTGCCATGTGAACACCTGTTCTCACTTTCAGATGACAGTGTAAATAAGACGTGGGCAGCATTATCTCCTGCAAATTGTAAGCAAACTTGTTTGTCTGAGTGATTGGCTGAAGTAGGACGCAGTGGACTTGTAGGTTCTAAAGGTTTACATTGTTTATTTTTGAATACAGTTATTTTTTGTACATAATTCTACATTTGTAAGTTCAACTTCATGATAGAGATTGCACTACGGTACTTGTATTACGTGAATTGAAATATACTACTTCTTTTGTTTTTTACAGTGCAAATATTTGTAATAAAAATAAATATAAAGTGAGCACTGTACACTTCGTATTCTGTGTGGTAACTGAAATCAATATATTTGAAAATGTAGAAAACATCCAAAAATATATTTAAATAAACGGTATTCTATTATTGTTAATTCATTTTTTTAATCATTTGACAGCACTAAGGTAAACAATCTGTAGACAGGGATTTCATTTAACAGAAGATTGGAGAACAACAGACTATATAACTTTATTGTTAAAGTGAGCAAGAAACACAAATCCAAACAGTGATATTCAATTTCTTTAAAGTGTTCCTGCTTAGAATTAAATCACTGAAGCCAAACAATGATTAAGGCCAAAATTTTAAAACCAGAGTCCAGAAAAGTAGGCTTATAAACAAACATTTGAGCAACTAAATAGAAGTGACCTGAATATTACTCCTGGTGGCACTCTGTGTCAAAAAAATTAAAAATTCTGCGCACGATATTTTAAAATTCTGCGTATTTTGTCAAAATAACACTATATAATTGTACCAGTTTCAATTATTTTGGTAATGTATTCAAAATACCTGTCAGCAAGTATGTCTGTAACAATACAGATACACAAAAAATTGCCCCATGTATAGAGAGTTAAAGAAACCTGTACAACAATCCAGTTCCTGTTTCTCTCCTCTCCCTCACAGAGCCCAGCTAGGGGGACAAACACACACACCCCTTTCCCCACCAGAATCCAGTCATGGGGTCCCTCCCCGGCCCAGACACTTTCACCCCCTCTACCCAAGGCCAGCTGCAGAGCCCCTCCAGCCCAGAAACTCATAGCCCTTCCCACCAGAGCCCAGCCACAACTACTCCCACCCCAGACACTCTCTACCCCAGACTCACACCTCCAACCCCTCAGAGGCCAACTGTCCAGTGACCTGTCCTGTTCATTATATGTCAATCCCCCAACTTTGTGTCATTTGCAAAGTTTATCAGTGATGATTTTATATTTTCTGCCAGGTCATTGATAAAAAAGGTTAAACTGCATAGGGCCAAGAACTGATAGTTACAGGAACCCACTAGAAACACACCCGCTCAGTAATGATTTCCCATTTACAACTGCATTTTAAGACCTATCAGTTAGCCAGTTTTTAATCCATCTAAGGTATATCATATTAATTTCATATTCTAGTTTTTTAATCAAATTGTCATGTGGAACCCACTCTCAGGATTTGAAACACCCTGGCTTCCCGAAAATACTGGATCAAATCCCAGCAAGGTCACCTCAGGCCTTCAGCCTTGCCAGGTAGATAAACAGCATTCCACGCACGAATGTGAATGTGGGGTTTCAGATGAAACTTAACAAATACAGGTTTTGAAACGTCCCCACACTGTTGTACTGCGTGCCAGTTAGCTGCTGCCTTCTGCCAGAGCGGGGCTTGCATTTTAATAGTACTGTATGTATGAAGTATATTAGTATTCCGGGACCCTTAAGGGATGAAAGGTGCTATCATTATAAGATATTATGCAGTCTACATATAGCTTGGTCATTTAACTGTGCATGAAGCCTCTACCCCACCCCAACCACTTTAATAGGGAGGATTCTTCATCCTTTACTCCCCTCTTCTCTAGCTCCAGCACATTAAACTGAACATTTTAATAATTACTGCCTAGGCTTGGAAAGATCAGATTTTTATCAGTTAATGTAGCTAAAATCGATTTCCCTGCACACGCGCACACACAAACCAGCAACAAATTTCCATCCTTTAGGGAAATTTACAGAAAAATGCTGCTTGAAAAGGTATCAGAGTTTGAGTGAAGGATATTTACTTCCTTTATTTCCACACAGGAAGTTGACAGCGTGCGCCTCAGCACTTATAAAGGTTTAACTTCTTGAATCCCAACGTCTTTGGTCATTAAAGCATTACTACCACCACCCCCCATTTTCCAACAACTGTGAAAATTTAAAACTTGATACAGAGGATTTTAAAAGGCGGAAGGCTCATAATTTTGCGCAACTGTGAAACACGAAAACCAGGGGAAGAGGCTTTAAACCAAACATCGGTATTCTCCATCAACATTAAAAGCCGCAGCCTGCCCAGCCCACTCGTGCCCCAGGCGCCCCTGCACCCACTGCAACCGGGCGAGGAGGAAGGGGGCGGCAGCGGGGGGGGCACACAAAGGAACAGGGGCTCTGACACCCCCGCTGAAGCCGAGCTGTCCCCGCCCAGCGCGGCCTGACAGGGAATGGGGGGGGGGGGGAGGGCCCGCAAGGTGCTGGGGAGGTTGGGGGCGGGAGGTCCGGGCGGGGGCGTGGGGAGAAGCAGAGACACAAGCGCTTGCCCAAGGGCTGCGGCCTGGGCGGGTCCGCAGGAGCGCGGCGGGCGCTGGGCGGGCAGCCAGAGGCCGGGCCCCTCCTGCCCCCGGCCGGCGGCTGCAGCTCTTACCCGGGCTGCTCGCCACGTGGCTGTCCCCGGCGTGGGGCGGGGGGGGGAGCCGCCGGCCGCACTTACCTGCTCGGCGCGCGGCGGGAGCGTGACGGGGCCGCGCACGCGCGGAAACGGTTGGGCAGGGCCCGGCCTGGAGGAGGTTGGTCCGCGCGGCTCTTCCTGCGCCACGGGCTCCTCCCGCCGCCGCCGCCGCCGCCGGATCTCCCCTGAGGTGGCGGCAGCAGCCGGGTGGTTATTCCCGCTCTCCCTGGCTTGAGTTAAACTGCACCCACGGGCCTTGCTAATCGCCCCCGGCGAAGGGGAGAGGGCCGCGGCCGGAGCAGCCGTGCATGTCGCTTTACCAGCCCTCTCCTGCGTATCCGTGTGGCGGCTAGGAGGGGGTTGAGCGGAGATAAAAGTTTTGTTAGTATGAATTTACTGTCGAGCACCTCAGGGCAGCCCCGCCTGTTCAAAAATCATGTCAGGTCCCGTCCCCTCCCCCCATCATGCCGTTTTTAAAAACAAGTGTGATCTCTTTATTTGCCTCTCTGGCGTCGAGGCGTTTTACAGTTCACATGATTAATCTTTTCTGCAGACACGAGGGCTAGAAACAGCCTCTCTGTTTTTAAGCGAAGGTGGTCACATGATCACATCCTTTCCGGAACTGGAGTTTTGAGAAAAACACCACCACACATCACAAACATCTCAGTAAAATCAGGATCACTGCCAACACAGCAAGCAGTGAAGCCAACAGTGAGTTATGCAAATCAGCCCAAGGATAATTGTAGTCTCAAGCCTGCAAACACTTGTGTGCTTAACTTCAAAGCATGCAAGCATTACACTTTCTCTCCAAGGGGACAACTCTTGAGCTTCAAGCAAAGCATGTGCATAAATATTTGCAGGATTGGAGCCAAAAACTTTACAGCACAGCTTTATTTATTCTGTATATGGTACAGACAAACTATTCCAGAACTGGTTTAGAGAGTTTTTAAAATGTTTCAGAACCGAGCTTTGTATCCCTCCTCCTGTTAAGACTTAGGCCCCATGCTGAAAGCTGTTTTGTACAGGCATGTACTCAAGTGCTTTGCTAAATATAGATGGATTTAAGCACAGGCTTAAAATTAAGAATGTGCTTAAATATTTGCTGATTTGAGGCCTTAGTTACTATGAGTCCATTTGAACAAGGTGTGTGTGTGAGAGAGAGAAATAAAACATTTTCTGAGTGTCTACAAATAAACAGGTTTCAGAGTAACAGCCGTGTTAGTCTGTATTCGCAAAAAGAAAAGGAGTCCTTGGGGCACCTTAGAGACTAACCAATTTATTTGAGCATAAGCTTTCGTGAGCTACAGCTCACTTCATCGGATGCATGTTGTGGAAAGTGTAGAAGATCTTTTTATACACACAAAGCATGAAAAAATACCTCCCCCCACCCCATCAGCAGGAGAGTGGGGTGGGGGGAGGTATTTTTTCATGCTTTGTGTGTATAAAAAGATCTTCTACACTTTCCACAGTATGCATCCGATGAAGTGAGCTGTAGCTCACGAAAGCTTATGCTCAAATAAATTGGTTAGTCTCTAAGGTGCAACAAGGACTCCTTTTCTTTTTACAAGTAAACAGAAAACAGCTTTTCTATCTAAAATGTCAGGATTTTATAGACTAATTTCTCATGCCATTCCCTGGCTAGAAGGGAGTCTAGGTCGCACCGGAAAGGGGAGGAAATTTCCCATTCTGAATGTAACAAAACTCCCATCCCAGAGCCCTGAAGGCTCAGGAGATATCAGGCTGTAAAACCAAGGCATTCTAAAATGTATCCCATGGTTCTGCATTTTATCACCTGGATAGCACCTCCACATATATTTACCCCATATAATACTAACTGGAGGCGACATTCATAGGGCAAATACATTTTACCACGCATCTTCGACCACCTCTGTCCACTAAAGCCTTGATTTGATAAAAGATTGCTAAAAGAGTTAACATGATATCAACCAAACCTAACGATGTTAGGTAATAAAATAACTATATCTTAGCCCCTACTGTAGACACAGGTTAACGCCTTTTTGCACATGTTCACTGGTTGTGATCTAGCCTCATGGGAAAATAACACAATTTCAACCATGGTTTGTTTTCCCAATCTATACATGGCCTAATACATCTCACCATGATTTATTCCAACCCCCTGAGAAGATTCTTACAGCCACCATTATAGAAAAAAAAATCTGTCAGTGAAATGGTTCCTCATTCTTTGACCAAACCAATCTGGAAACTACATTATAATAATTCACAACAGATAATAAACCACACTGGAACTAGTTATTAATTGGTCTAATACATTAAACAAGATCAAAAGCTCAATTTTGATTCATTTTGTGGGGTTTCCTGTACAGAATCAATATAAATTTTAAAATTTAGCTACATTCCTCTATATTTCCAAAACTGAGATTTGAACCATTCTAATAATAATCTATCATCTTGGATAAACATTCAGAATCATTTTAAATATAATAATCATCCTAGAAATAATTATGTACATTTAGTAAAAGAGCTAGTAATATAGTTTTATTTACATTAAGGGGAATGCCAGAAAATATTAACTGGATCTTGCTAAACTTCTGTCGCCGTCCATTTATAGCTCATAGTAATGAAATACCTACCACATACAAAATAGTATAATCAGCAAAAAAAATGAACTAAGGGACTTCATCATAAGACAGATATATACAAGAAAGAAATAACAAAGATGAATAAGAGATGTTAACTAGGTGGTTTGGGGAATTGGTAATGCGGAATAATAGAGCCTTTTGACCTTTAAATTAACAGTTTAAATACAACCACAAGTAGTCTGAGTCATTTTTCGAATCTATAGGTGTCCATATTACAAAAACTTATAACTCCATAAACTACAACTAATTTTGGCCCTTTTAAAAAAATTCTATTAGCAAACTCCTGGATGCTGACTAAATAAAATAGTAAACTATAATACATTAAATAATAATAATAATTGGGGTGAAAGGACAAATTTGCATTTTGTGCCATTTGGTCCTGTTGTGCCAGTTTGTCACCAGGTGACCAATTTAAAAAAAAATAAACCCAGTTTTGAAAACTACAGATGATCATGGGCTGCTGATTAGTGCAGAGCACATTCAGACTGGTTAGGTAGGGGAAAAACTTTTCAATGGACAAATCTAAACGGATAAGATATTTATTTCATAAGGATTAAAGAGCGAAAATTAAATCTCTCCATTAAGCCTCTTTCCCCCTCTCATTTGGCTGTGAATTTAAAAAAAAACCCTCAAATTCCTTAATTTGTCTTGCTCCTGGGTTCACATATTAATATAACCCATGACCTCACCCAGCATTCAGCATAATTAGCAAAATTTATTTAAATGTATAAATTCCATGTTATCACTCCAAAGATATCTGGGTACCTGCAATGGTGTTTATTTTGAGCTCTTTGAAAAACAGACCACTTGAGATGAGCTACTGCATACCTCTCCATGCAAATTATATGCATATATAAATGTACCACTGTCTCTTGTTATCAGTCTTTAAAGATCAGAGTCACTCTCCAGACTTTGAGGTTTGTGGTATTGAAGCTTACATCAACAATTCATAAATTCACAGATACTAAGGTCAGAAAGGACCATTATGATCATCTAGTCCGACCTCCTGCACAATGCAGGCCACAGAATCTCACCCACCCGCTCCTGCGATAAAGGATGTCTGATTTCTTCATACTGATTGATGTATCAACATATGCTAAAAATATGGGGCCCAGATCCTACAGTGTGATTGGTCACTGTGACCTAAGTCATCACATGGTGTTATTTCTGCTCCTTGATTGGTTAATTCCCAAACCCACAAAGGGTTTTCAGAATCACTGTGTGAATGCTTCTGGAGTGAAAACTCAAGCTAGTCTACACAAGAAGCGCTGTGCTGCTGTAGACGCTATGCCGATGAGAGAGCTCCCACCTCCATGAGAGGCTCTCCTGCTGACATAGCACTGTCCACACCAGCACTTAAGTCGGTGTAACTTACATCACTCAAGGGCGCAGCTTATTCACACCCCTGAGCGACATAAGTTATACCGACATAAATGGTGGTGTACAAGCCCCCATACAGCTGCATATTTGCATAAGTATTTGTGACATTTTAACTTTCATTGAATGAACTTGTGGATAAAACCTGGTTTACCTGAATGTTTGCAAATAACCATAAGAGTTCCCTCAAATAGTGTGTCAACACTAAAGAAACTGACTGTACTAAGAAATGTCTGTCACTTTCTCGATCTGGAAGATACTTACTTCAAAAGGGTTCTGTAAAGATTAGTAACTTGATGTTTGGAGAGCTCTGTGAAGATGAAATATGGTATATAAGTGCTGATTGTAATTATTTATTAATCATACATGTAATGGGTTTGTGAACAAAGTCTTTCTGCAGCCCTTTGAAAATTTACTACAATATGTTCAGCATCATCTCCCATTGCATTGTCAAAAAATTATAAGCTTCCCAGCCAATGTATGCAACGTGTGTAGACTGTCTGAGCAAATGGCATATCTTTGTTTGGGCATTTTAACTTAGCATTTACATTGTGCTTTTCCTGTTGAAAGCACTTTACCAATGGCTACTTTTGTATTTACTTTCTGTATCAATGTAAATACCTGTTTCTTCCACCAAGCAAAACAATTGCTTTCTAATTGGAACGGGCAGCTTTCAGAACAAATTAAACTAGCCTAGTGCATCAGAAGACTAAAGAAATTGTGCTATGAAAGGAAATACAGAGAACTTTTTTCCTCTCCCTTTGTAAACATCTCCACTTTCTCTCCCATTTGCCAGGCTGTTTTAGGAGTTGCGCATTCAGTATTATGGAACTTTTGCTATCAACTATTCAGTAAGAATTTTAGAATAGGAATTACCTAATTACAACCAAGAAGTTCCAGTGGTATTATTTAAACTGGTAGCTGTGTACCCTTCAGATACTGGGAAAATATTTGTTCCAATACAGCAAACAACAATTTGTATTGTGATGTTTTTACAGTAATTCATAGGGTTAAAAATTTGAGAGAGCACAACTGGAACAATTGGATGGGACCTTCTCAGACAAACTGGAGCATATGTGTAGGGTAGAGTGGGTAATCTGTGGGTGGAAATGGTGGCACAATAAGGATGCTGTATTAACTTTTTTTATACAACATAAATCTGCTCATCCTGAGGCCTCATGTGCTAATACCAAGGCTTTGTTGTACGATCTCTGTGTCCTTTGGATTTACTTTCCCAACACTGTCATTCCAAATGCACAGTTCTGCTTTCTGTGACAGGATTCCCTGGACCAGTATCAAACAATATTAGCACTGATAATTTGTTTGACAGTAAAGTGGTTGCCAAAAATCCCACTCACTCCATGGATTTCAATCTCCCTGTGTGCAGTGATTCGCCAACTTTTCCAAATCCATATTTGGGATCTTGACAATGCTTTTTGCAGAGTAGCAAACATCATCATTCTATGAACAAATAGTATCACAGCAGTGAAATCATATATGCCAGAAAATGATTCATGCTTTCAACTTTATTTCCATTTCCTTTATTTTAACCCAGCAGTGGCAGGCATTTAGCTTTTGACATTTTCTACCAACACACATCTCCACATGGAATTCATTTTATTAATGAGAGACAAATAATTCCTATGGAGAGTGCTACTAATTTGGACAAGTCACACAAGTAATTCCATAATTACTTGATTCTTTTTTGCTGTTGCTGAGCTTCTTTTTGCCTTGGTTCCCTACGTTTGACTCCCCATTGCCTGAACTAAAGGGAAATCGATGCAGGATTCCTTCTGGGGATTGACAGGTTGAGAGAATGTGGCTCTGCTTCTGCATAACTTTTTCCTTTAATTTCCTCTACGTTGTAGTTTCTCACTCTCCGTGATCTTCAGTACCTTGACTAAGATCAGAATCATAGTACTAAGCAGCCTTCAAAGCTTCTCCTCACCAGAACTTTCAACCTCCAAGACCAAGATGTGAGATAAAAACCCAAACTGATGTGTACAATAAAAAATAGAAGAGCCAGAATCTTGTAACAAGTGGGGATTTTTTTCCCTTTTCCCTTTATAAAGTTTTCTAAAATACCAGCCTTAAGAGTTCCGATCTGAATAATTTATGGAAGCAGGAAGGTAACAGCGAGTTTGTGTGAGGCTGAATTAGATGGGGTTCAAAATGAGTGACATATCTTGTAAAGAAGTATAGTTGACAGGTCTGCTCCTTGTACCAGCCCATTCATCCAGCCAAGACTGCCCCTAGCTATTAAAATACTGTCAACATTTCAAGGAATGATGATCTAAGGTCACTCCAAAACACTAGTGGCTGCACGGAAGTCAGAGACAGCCTCAGGTTGTGTGAGGCCTTAATGATGTACAATGCGCAGAACTCCATCCAGCTCACTTCCTGCCTGTGGCTGGTCCCCAGTTCACTGCTCATCCATCATCCCCTTCCACCAAACTGCCATCCAAGCACAAAGGCTACTGAGGTATATAGCAAACTGACCAGCACAACAGGAATGCAGGAAGCGAAGACAGAGAGGAGACATTTGGAGAAGAATTCTCATGCTGACTGCATCATACTTGCCTGGGTCACAAATAGGGAATGAGCAGAGAGGCTGAATAGAGAGGAATGGTTACAGCATGCTAGACTGGATAATACGTTTAAGTCCCTTTTACTGGAGCTGTAAACTATTTAGCAGTGTGGTGCAAGGTCCCTTGATATGCAAATTCCTATGCAACTGTGGAAGTAGCCCAAGGAAGGCTACCACAGTGAAGCACTGAGTGGGCCAATTAAAAATCTTCTTAACATTCAGAAGTAAAGCTTACAAAGCATGAAGAAGCCAGAAATATTTGGGTTTTTAATTCATAATTTTTCTGTCACCAAACCAACATCCCCTTGACCGATGTCTGACTCAATTTCAGAAACTTTTAAACATTTCTTCTATTGCTGTTGGTTTTTTAAAAAACACAGATTCTGCGATCCTTACATGCAAAATAGTGCATAGATTATAGTGTTTTCCTTTCATACATACAAACCCCAGTAAAAAAAGTTGAATAAAATATACACAGTGGGAAATATAATCCTGGAATATGTGTCAATGATGTGATTGTTCTGCAAAATAATCCTGCCCACATTTCCTTTCAAGGATCTCTTCCTTTTTATGCGGGTTGCATCTAGGTTGGGGATGCTGGCTGTCCGTCCCCGGGCTGAGCTGTCTTCAGAGTGGACCGCAAAGGTGGTCATATCAATGTCAGCCTCATTGTCATGATAACAGCCATCAAAGGCCATTGCTTGTACTGCATCAATGTTATACATTCCTGCAACCTGGCAACAGAGAATTATTGTGTGAGTAAGCAGCAGCCATTAGAGTGCTAAATAATGAAGCCCTATCCACTGAATAATCATCCACATGGAGGCTCTGTCTGCTAATGGATGTGCTGGATGGAAAAAAATGTGGATACCTCATAACATGAGCAAGTGAATACCTACCTGTGGGAATTGGGAATTGCCTAGTATCAGCAGGGCCATGTTAACTAGAGTTAGGAGAACACCTCATTACATTTTCTATGAATATTCTCTTGAATAAAACAGTGACTTCACTGGAGCTATATGAGCCCCCTTTATGTGTTCTCCTCCCCAGATTATCTACTGAATGAGTTTACAGGTGGGAATGTTTATGGGAAAAGGAATTTTAAGTGAATATTAGAAAGATTAATGGAAAGCAAATTTTTTAACTTGTAAATGGGATTATTCGCATTAGAAATCTGATTCTAAAAACAACAGTCACTCATCCCATCAGGAAACAGAACCATGCCATGTGACCTCTCTCTCCAATCAAAGATAACTAAAAGAAATTGGGGGAAGGGAGAAAGGAGAAATGGCCCTTCCTCTTCAGGAAGCAGGAGTGTGGAGACCCTGTTGGTCATAAGGATGTGGGGAGATCCCATCCCACTCAGGATCCCAGAATGAAGAACGATAGGGGCCCTCAACTACCAGGAATTTACCAGGGGAGAAAGAGTTGATGGAGACCTTCCCTCTCAATGACCAGAAGAGGCAGAAAAAGTATGGACAGAGTAACAGACTCTCACTCCCACCTCCCCAGGAGAGAAATAAAGGTATGGAGTCCTCTTATCTTCTCCCACCAGAAGAACAGGGGAGACTAGACCTACTCAGGATTCAAGAGAGGGGAGGTACCTTCCCTCCCATCAGCCAAGAGGAGGAAAGAGTGGATAATCAATTAGTCACCGAGCAGAGACAAACACAGTCACAGCACACCCGTCACAGAATGCAATGGCATGTTGCTGTATTCAGATTACTTTGTGGCTTCCATGAGGCTGTCTGACAACAAAATACACAAGTTTGTACCTTCCCTCTTTTTTTGAGTTGTTTTCTCTCTTCTGCTGTGGTGAGATAATTCACAGCTGCGTATTCGATGACAGACAGGAAGACAAAAAGAAAACTGATCCATAAGTATACATCCACAGCTTTTATGTAAGACACCTGAGGCATTGAGGCACTTACTCCTGTGATTATGGTTGACATGGTCAGCACAGTAGTTATGCCTGCCAAAGAAAGACGCGATTAACACAAAACAAGATCCAATTGTTTTTATTTAACTGGCCACCAACTGCTTGATCAGCAAAGCTTTGTGGGTGCAACCAGTAGATCCCTCTTTCAACTCTTTGTACAGGCTATGAAATATGGAGTGTACCATGAAGGGCCATTTTACAGGACCTACCAAATACACCACCAGACTCATTAGGTCACCTCTGTGTTCATTCTATGGGAAATCTGATGATCACATAAAGGGCTACAATGTACCTAGTCCTAGCTCTTCATGAGCGTGAACACAGAGGATGCTCCTTGTGATTCCATGATGTGAGGTCCAGGAGAACGAAATACCAACAGCCGCACTAGAAAATGAGTAAGAACTGGAGTGAAGACAGGGCTGTGGTCAGCACACCTAGGCTGGTGCCATGGACAAAGTGTCCAATGCATCCTGTTAAAAGTTACAGAAGATGCCACTGCTGTGTGTGCTGGGCCTAATTCATTTCTCATTGACACCAGTGTACATCCAGACTAAATCAACTGAAATCAGCGGAACTACATCAGTGTAAAACTAGCATAAGTGAGGGGAAAATCAGGTCTGTTGTGTCTACCTCAGGAATTATGCCTCTAGGAGCTACTACTGGAGCAATATGCTTTCCTGTTCTCTTTCAGCCAGTGCCTGAAAAACCACAATCAAGCCCAAACAATTTCCCCAAGAATTTGCTTTATAAATTAGGAAGGTATTTTTTAGATTACTATGGCAGCTCTTTGACAAGCAGGTGGGAAAAGGGATCCCCCCACTCAATTCTAGCAACTGAGAAGAGAACCAAGAGATTCATTGTGTTGGACAATGACATTATGTCATGTAGCAGCAATACACTATGAAGTGTTGTGATGGCACATCATTGTCACACATGGACTCAAAGGAAAAAATAACACAACAGAACCTTGTGATCTAAGCTACATCTCTGCAACTCTATCTGGTGAAGTGATTCTCTAGATGTTAAATACCGAGTTCCACCTCTCTTTATTTTGGGTACTGCAATGGCCACAGTGGAAATGACATAAAAGAGATGGGGGCTGACTACATAGGAATTGCCATATCAGAAAGACCAACTGACCTTCACAGATTGATATCTTCTTTCCAATACTGCTCAGTACCAGGTGCTTCAGAGGGAAGTCTAACAGATGCCACTATGTGATATCCCACAACGGGTTGGGAGGGGGGAGATTTCTTCCTGACCTCTGTTGCTGATGAGGATATGGTCTGAAGGGCAAGGACTTTTTTTTATCCTAGCTGGGTAAATCAAGACTGGATATATTTGTAAAAGATATGTTTTAACTCAAAACAGAGGTTATATGTTTGATGCTATTGTTGGGTGAAATTCTATGGCCTGTGTTATGCAGGAAATCAGACTAAATGATCATTAAATGGTCCCTTCTGGTCTCAAATTCTATGAATCTATGAACTGTAGATGCTTTAAAAACAAAACAACTGAACCTTATTTTTTTAATTATTGCCATAACACTGGGACAAAATCAGCTGGTTTACACAGGCATAACTCAGGGCACAAGGCCATTGGTGTCAGAAAGTCAACCTTCACCAGTGCAAGCCACTTGCAATCCCTTCTCAACTAGGGGATTAGAAGCCAATTATTGCAGCCCCAAAGGTGGGAGAGTCTGGCTGGGGATGGGATGTAGCCAAGGTACCTGTGGATTACGATCCATCCTTGGTAGATGAACCGATGCTCTGGCCCCTTATTCATATAACTATCTCATGTTGTGCTGAATTTGCTTAGCTATTTTGCCTCAATAATGTTCTGTAGCAGTGGGCTCCAGATGGTGATTATGTGTGTATAAAAAAGTATTTCTTTTTATCCACTGTAAGGCCCTAATACTGGTGGGTGCTGAGTGCCTACAACTCCCAATTCAATCAATAATACTTGTGAGTGCTCAGCTGATTACAAATACTGAATACAGTATTCAAGTGAAGATATGTCTTTGATTTATATGAATCAAAACAGTGACCAATATCATGGAAGTTCAGAGTGTGGAACAAGACATTATCAAAAATTAGCTATTTTTCATCAAAAGTTAATTAAATACAATTCTGATCAGATTCATGACAGATGAGAATGTGGAACACATTGTATGGGAGTTTTGCCAAATGTTCCCATCTAAATTTCATTTTGACAGAAATGTTCCTAGCAGCTCTACTCAATGCAGGAGGCCTAATTCATGGTCTTACTCCAGTTTTATGCTGGTTTTACTCTACTGAAATCTACAATGACTTTATCTTCCCCTCGCTCATCTACAATTACTCAGTTGAACACTGGAGTTCCAAATGTACTATGTAAGAGGAAACCTATGTATTAAAAATATATACACGTTAGGGAAACCAATATGCATTGCATATATAGGACTACAGCTTTTTAAAACAATCAGGTTTCCAAACCTGTTAAACCTGACTGGAAGTTATCTAAGCTATGCTGTTGGAGTGCACACAAATTCTTCTCAGAATCTATAGGAATTCACATATAATTTAAGGAAATAAAACTGGTAACTTGCTAACTTCAGTAGAGCACAGTCTTATCAACATTTTTAGATGATCTTTTGAAATTCAAGAATTTTTAATTTATTCAGAATAATGCATGATAGTTTCCCCATAGATAAAGAGAAACAGGAGTGTTTCATTTATACCAGTAGACAGGATATCTCCTAACAACTTTTCTTAGACCAACAAATAATTTATATCTTATCTTCTAATGTATTATAAATTATTGATTGTTCCAATAAAAAGGAATCGCATCCTTTACAGGTCTCCTTTTTCCTCACAGATCAATATGGCTACAGAAAAACATTTACTTTAGCAGATCTCAAACTCCAGTTGATGATGTTATTTTACACTAGAGCTCTCAAGGTTTTCCCTTGTCTGAGAAGTATGACAAAACAATCAGCTTCTGAGATCAAAGATGCTCTGATGGTAAGACTAAATAATGGGAACTCCACCATTAATTCTTAAACCTATAGCAATGGGACTCAGAAGCATTACAAGTACATTTGATAGAGCAATATGTCTCCACCAGATTCTCAAAGAGATGTTAATCTTGGAAAAAAATGTATTAATTCCAAGGCCAAGCCAGACAGAGTTCTGAAATGATCTCAAGTGATCAATCGCTGGAGAAAATTATCAAGTTATAAAAAATGACTAGTTAGTTTCTTATACACCCAATCCTGTGAGTGTTGAATCCAGAAGGATGCATAAGTCAGGCCTTTACTGAGCAAAGTGTTAAGGCACCAAACGCAAAATTTTCAAAAGCACTTAAGTGACACAAGAGCCTAAGTCCTATATTCAAAAGTGACTTAGGCACCAAGGTGCCGATGTGACTACCTGCATTGTTAGGCACCTAAATACCTTTTAGCCCTAACTCCCATTGATTTCTAGTAGGGAGTTAGGCACCTAGTGGGATTGTCAAAACCACCAAAACAGGTTAGGTACATATCTGAATCTTTAGATGCCTAAATACCTTTGAAAATCAAGACTTAAGTGCCTACGTCAACTTTTGACAATGAGACTTAGGTTCATAAGTAACTTGGGCACTTTTTAAAATTTTACCCAGTGCATTTTAATACAACATAACATTTAGAAATGCAACATACCCCAGCTCTAAATGACAGTATCCATCAAAATATTAAACTGCCTCACAGCACCATTCTATAGCACTTACAACATGGCTGAGAAACTGCTCACTTTGTGTGTGGAGGGAAATCATCCCTTCCCTAGAGTCCACACACAGGGACTCCTCTTTGTGTACAGAACTCCATCTCCTGTAGGGGGAGTATGATGTCAGCAGCCTCTGGGGCACTGCCAGCTGCCCAGGAACCCACTGAGAATTCTGCAGGGGTTTGAGGATCCATACTAGTGTTGGAGGTGGGTTAAGGGTGGCATGCATATTTTCCTCTCCTCCACTCCAAGCAAGCGGAGGTAATTCCACTCAAAAGTTAATGTAGCCCAAGTCCACATTAGCTTTTCCTCAGCACTCCCTGCTCCTCCTGCATTACAGAATATCACCATGCGGGGTGAGGAGGCGAATGGCTTTCCATGGGCATCTGTCAGAGGGATAAGTCCTGGAAGGACAGCTGCATTTCAGGCACACTGCTAGGGAGCCAGAAGGTGCGGTGAAAGGTCAATGGGCCCCTGAGCTAGTGCAGAGGTACAAGGCCACCACATGGACAGCCCTGTGCCTCCTGAATCCCCTCCCCCCCACATTCACAGGACTTGGGGGGCCAGACTGCCTGCTTCTTCCACAGGAGGGCAAATCTATTCTTTGTGACAGCCGAGTTTAAATGAAATTCCATGAGGGGAACCACACACAATGCCTCTCCCTCTAGTGTCCCCTCGTGCATTCTGTAGTACAATAAAACTGATTTGTGGAGTGCAAAATGCCCCCTTTCCAAAGGCAGAGGATGTATAACGGGAATGGATATGTGAGGATGACAATGATGCTGTCACTCAGGCACCCATCTAATACGTGGCCACATATACACTGCAATCAGAACCCAGTTAAACTACCAAAAGCCCTCTTCCCTTTCCTGCCTATCCCTCTCCAAGACTAGATCGCAAAAAGGTTTACCCAGTGATACCCTGGCAGGAACAGCTCTTCTGTCAATCCAAAATGAAACCCAGGACAGCATCACCATCAGCATAGCTGGGAAATAGGATTGTAACACAAAAAAGAAAATATGCCTTCTTAGGGCGAAGTTTATAAAAAGGCGGTTGTACCAACCTGTTGAAAGAAAGAGAGCACAGAAAAAAAGAGATCAATGTTTTCATAAATATAAGCACTCTTCTGACCAACCTCTGCTTTCCACTATGCTTGCCCTTACATTATATTTGTAGTCTAAGGAATAATAATTAAATAAATAGTAATCATGCCTTCATTTTATATAGTGACTTTTATCTCAAATTTCAGAGGAACAGCCGTGTTAGTCTGTATTCGCAAAAAGAAAAGGAGTACTTGTGGCACCTTAGAGACTAACCAATTTATTTGAGCATGAGCTTTCGTGAGCTACAGCTCACTTCATCAGATGTTTACCGTGGAAACTGCAGCAGACTTTATATACACACAGAGAATATGAAACAATACCTCCTCCCACCCCACTGTCCTGCTGGTAATAGCTTATCTAAAGTGATCAACAGGTGGGCCATTTCCAGCACAAATCCAGGAAATGGCCCACCTGTTGATCACTTTAGATAAGCTATTACCAGCAGGACAGTGGGGTGGGAGGAGGTATTGTTTCATATTCTCTGTGTGTATATAAAGTCTGCTGCAGTTTCCATGGTAAACATCTGATGAAGTGAGCTGTAGCTCACGAAAGCTCATGCTCAAATAAATTGGTTAGTCTCTAAGGTGCCACAAGTACTCCTTTTCTTTTTATCTCAAAGTGCTTTACAAACTGTTATCTACCCACCACTGAAATGGAGCTATGTCTGGAGTGAAACAGCACAGCTGTTTAAAGATGCAGAAAAATACTACTTTACAGTTGAGGACAGAAAATGAAAAAAAAATTAAACTGAAACTTCTGGGAGAATACAGGGGAGGCAGCATATAAGTATCCAAAATGGAATTTGGCCAGGACAGTGAGACTGACATCCCTGATCCCATGAAAAGTGTCATGAGGTCATGCAAATGCTCAGAGTCATTTTATGTTACAACAGTATGGTTCCTTTTCTAGCACCAGGCATGGATGCTAGTTTAGAACTGATTTCAGAGAGAAGAGTGCCACCAACTGAATTACCAGGGTGACATTCTGCAGCACTGGATGGTCCGGAGTTTAGAAAGACATGGTGGGTGAGGTAATATCTTTTATTGGACCATCTTCTGTTTAGTCATAGACAAAGGAGGGTTAATGGGGATTGTTGTAATAAGCCATAAATCCAGTGTCTTTATTAAGTCTGTGATATTTAATGTCTAACAAAGTTCTGAATGTTAGCCCCCAGGCTCATCTTTTACAGGTGTTGTGCAGATTTCCTTTGAGGATGAGAACTGATAGGTCGGACAAGGAGTGATTGTTTTGTGAAAAGTATTTGCCCACGGGTGACATGGCGTTTTTGTCTTCTATCATTTTTCTGTGTGAGCTCATTCAAGAGCATACCAATTATCTCATTTCACCCGCATTCCTGTTATGGGGGCATTTAGTGCACTGGTTGAGGTACCCCAAATGTTGTGATAGGCATGGGTAGGACCATGGATCTTGAAGGGTGTGTCGTGGGGGGTGCGGGTCATCTTAGAGAGGCGATATGTCTGCAGGTTTTGCATCTTTTGTTATCGGAGGGTCCGGTGCTGCTTTGAGTTGGTCCTGGTCTGTAGGGTCCTGGTCTGTGGGGAGCTTGGTTCTGATGATGAGCTTAGGGAGGTTGGGGGGATGTTTGAAGGCCAGAAGTGGGGGTTCAGGAAAGATTTTTTTCAGGATGGGATCCCCATACGTAATTGTTTAAACCCATATGGGTTCCATTGCAGGGTGATAGGTGACAACTAGTAGTGTGCGGTTTTTTTTCCATATTGAAGCAGGTTCTCCTTTTTTCTATGACTGCAGAGGTGTTAATTTCCCACTTCACCTGGAATGGTCTCTTACAACACATTAACTCCTTATGCTAAACAGTCTGTCTCACCTTGTATTTAGCTGTGATACTCGAAGTATCTTTCCTAGACTCGAAGAAGAGCTCTGTGTAAACTCGAGAGCTTGTCTCTTTGACCAACGCAAGTTGGTCCAATAAAAGATGTTATTTCACCCATTTTGTCTCTCTAGTATCCTGGGACCAACACAGTTACAACAACACTAGGAACAACAGTGAATTTAGAGTACAGAGTGAGGTTAAAAGAAGACAGAAATGGCTGGAAAGCCAGAACCTGCCTTTGCAGTGAGAATATAGGCATGAATTAGATTGTAGTAGAACACTCGTGCCAGTTTAAAGAGCTTTTTTAGAAATTTATTACCTGATAATAACAATCCAATCTAAAATTAAACATAGCCTACACGGTTTCAGCCTGGGATAGAATTTTTATTTAAAAAAAAATAATTTCTTCAGAACTGTGGTCCAAACTGGTTCCTCCTTTGTGGAATCTCTAGGGAGGGGAAAGAGAGGCAGGAGAATTCTGAGAGCTTTATTTCATGGAGTTCCTTGCAAAATGTTCCTGAAATGGGGAGAATTTAGAGGATGGTGAAGTGAGGAAGGGATGAGGACTTCCAAACCTGTGGATGACAGGTATCTATCTACAGGAAAGGGCAACCCAGACCTGTGTAGGGAGGAGATGTCCAGGGGTATGTCTACACTGGAGGTGGGATCCAGGATCCAGCCTCCAAGCCCAGATGGACAGACTCACACTAGCAGGGCAGAAGCTAGTGTACTAAAAATAGTGTGGACGCTGCAGTTCGAATTCTCAATCCCATCTGACCTGCTAGGCTTGAGAGCCTGAGTGGCAGCCTGAGCTGCAACTTCCACACAGCTATTTTTAGCATGCTAGCTTGAGCCCTGCTAATGCAAATCTGTCTACCCAGGCTGAGAGGCTCACACCCCACTGCAGTGTATATGTACCCTATAGGAACAGCTTCTGTCTCTGTTCTGCAGTCCCCTGGGCCCTCCTGCCAGGAGGGTTCCTATCAGAGTCACACCACCATTTGTGTCCCCCTGCACTTACTCAGTAATGTTATTAGCTTAAGAGGAGCTGTTCTGCATTTAATAACCATCTTCCATGAGAAAGGAAAGGAAAGGAAGAAAGAAAATACAGCATCCTAGAGTAAGTTCCAGGCAAATCAAAGCAAACGTGCAGTTGTATTCTGACAAGTGACTACATGAAAACGGCACCATTTTACTCAACAGATTTGCTCCTTGTGTGTATTCAGTCATATCTCATTGATTTCAGTGACAAAAATACACCTTTCCTGCTTTTAATCATTTTGCCCTGCAGAGCCGGCACATCATAAATACTAAGTTAATATTAAGTTCCAATCAGTTAAACCTTTGCAAACTCACTGCAGACCAGGGGTTTGCATAGGTATCACTGATGGCCTGATCTAAAGGCAATGAAGTTACACAGGTGCCACTGAGGGCCTCATTTGTCCTGCAGAACTTTTATTAAATGATGAAGAGGAATAAGATGAAATGACCCAGCTTGACTTTCAGAGCCCAGCCTCACTGTGTGGTGCCAGCAGTTAGGGAAGAAACACTCAATCTTTCTCCTAGTAAAATGAGCACAATGACGAGGATATCAGTGAGGCGTAACAAACAAGGAGCTCCACACTGACATGCAGATGGACACTTTTCAGGTTAGAGATGCTCTTTAAGTCTGGAATTCTACCTTTAGCTTATACGGTTTTATGTCACTTTTTCATAAGAGCCAGAGCTAAGGATGAAGTGTCAGTGCAAACTGAATTTTTCCAAGTTTAGCTGGATGGCATCACAACCTCAATACTAGTTAAAAATATTGCTGAATTTAATAGTAGATATTAAAGTGCAAACATTGCAGTTTTAAATGAATGTCATCGAAAGGTGGAAAAAAAACTTTCCTGTAAATAAATCTATTTGCAGCTTTCCTGCATGTCTTAAAGTGTTTTATTAAGCTTTATGCACATCACCATACTACATGAAATCACTTCTACTCCATTAATAAGCTTTGATAATTGAGGAACAACATACTCACTGAAATGAACTGATTCACAGTAGATACTACAGCATACACACCATGCATATTATTTTAACCAGTTTTTTGAAGTACTGTGATTGTATTTAGGTACAGAAGTGTTTCAGTATTTAGGATCACATGCACAATATACAGAAGATAAAAAACAGCCGTGCATGAATTCATGACCATAATACTCTCAAAGGGTCCTGGACTCTTTTCAGGTTAAGAATAGAGCCAGAACCACAAGAGGAAATTAAGACCCATATTTTTGGGGCAGATATTTATATTGAAACAAGGTTGCACTGGGGTCTCCATAAATATTTTTATGACAGAGCGATTTTCCTCTGAAACTTTTTGTATAAACATGGAAAATTTAGTGAGCAATTAATGCTGAGTTAGAATAGTTGTTAGTGCTCTGAACATCTGTTCCTTGAGGTCAGCTGTGCTGTGGAGGCATCATGATTACTGGATTGTTTTCGCAACATTTCATAGCTAGCATTCAAAATTCATTACCCAGGCGCATAGAGCCATAAGATTTTGGAAAAAGAATAGATTTGGGGTTCTTTTTATGTGCCTGCTAGGTTTTGAGCCTTCAGGGTTCGTATTTTCAAGCTTTTTCTCTGCAACCAAGAAGGCTAGAAACTTACTTTAAAAAAAAAAAAAAGACGAAAGAAAGCTGAGATCCTCCCGTGATCACCTGGCTCCAGGAGCCTTAAGAAAAGTACCAAATAGTGCAAGAGCTGGCAACATGGCTACTGCTCTACATGCCCCCTTTCTACAGGCTCTATTTTAGATACTATGTGGCCCCTCAGTGTTATATAGACAGTGTGTTACACAGGTAACGTAATCCAAAAAACTGGGAGCCAGAGTGCCGACAGATCCATTGTAAGCAAATAGATGAGTCTGTTTATAATTCTAGGTTTTCGTAGTGGAAATGATAATGCTCATCATTATCTATTAATAGTAAAATAAAATGTAAAGTATATGCTGTACGGTTAAGCTAGGTGTTTATTTTCTAATGTCAACAAGCATAATATACCAGTACTGCTGTAGAAAGCTAGTCCACTAGAAGCACTGAACTCTTCAATGAAGAACTGGGAAAGGGAGATGTGCTCATCCGTGCTCAGTGACTCATTCCCGTGTTTCCAGTACAGCATTAGATCATCTTCATTATAAGCATCTAAGAAAAAATAAAAGCTAAATTACCAATTCTAGTAGGCTGAGGCTTCCACTTGATTCATCGGAGACAGCACCTTAACTCACTCTGGTTGGAAAAATTTCAATGAAACATTCTTGTGTCGGAATTTGCCGATTCATCGATACCTACATGTTTCAAAGGGATTATTCAATTTTGACAAAGTTCTGATGGGACCCAGCCAGAGTCATGATGGAATCCTGCCTTTCCTTCCAGCTCACCTACCTGGCTCCTCAACAGCACTGGGACCCTACAGCTTCCAGGATCTGCAGCTCTGGGGCAGCCCGGCCAGCAAACTGCCCCAGAGCTGGGACTTCCCTTTCACAGAGAATTTTGAAATTTTTGCTTTTCAATCCAAATCGGAATGAAACCCTATTTTTCAATATTGAAATTCTCTGCAAAATGGAATTCCCCTTCTCCCCCCAGCTCTACAGCTTCCTACAGACCACAGGGTCCTTGGTTAGCGGTGGGCAAACAAGGCTAGGTGAGATAAAAATTGTCCCTGTAAAATATAAACTATTTGACAGTGGCAAAACAAACAATTTTTTGAGGCTTGAAAAAGTTCAGTCAATTGATTCCTACATTCTCTCATTTGTGTGTGCCTTTGCCCTCTCTTTCTTCAGACTAGTCCGTAAAGCAGAAGTTTCACAATGTCACAAGAGGCCAAATTCTGAAGTCATTACTCAATTTTGCCTTGATCCTTACTCAGGTAAAATTCTCATCAAAGTCAACAAGTTTTTTGACTGAGCAAGGACTTCAGGATTTGGCCCAGGGTATTTCCAACCTAGCTGGAACCAGGAGCAAGCAAAAGTCTCACGAGAGTGGCTTTCTTTTGATAACCAAAGGAGTTCTGATACGTTTTGGTAATTACTTGAACTTTTGAGGCTTATCTGTAGTAAAATCTTTGCAGCAATTCTCCCAGCAGTGGTTTGGATTTGAATCTTGGCTATGGAAATGTACAAGATGCACAAAGTGAGCCCACACTTGGGATGGGGGAAACCTCTGCTAATTGCTGCTTAAGGGATTGATCCCATAACCACTCCATGTACAGAACTCCCATTGAAGTTAAGGTAATTCAACATGTTTAGCAGCTGCTGGATTGAACTCTAAGGGCCTGCTCCTACACCCACTGAAATCAATGGGAGGTTTGCCATTGATTTCAGCATGAGTAGATGCAATGCTGGTAGACTAGGTGCCAGCTCCTTCCAAGACCCCTGGGCCTTGCTGAACTCTGACAAATTCATAGCCGGGAACCAGTTAGTATTGTTAAAACAGATATTAGAGTTAAAAGAATGTGTTTAGACTTTATGAAATGCTGGTAGGAGGCTGTATGTATTACTCTTACTTATAATATCTGTATCCCATGTTACAGGGTAATATTTATGTGTTTGTTCTGTAACTATAAAAATGTTTGCAAAGACCAGGTCTACACTTAAAAGGATGTGCCGCTGTAGAGCTTTAATGAAGAGATGCGCTCTCATCGGCGTAGTTAATCCACTCCCCCAAGATATAGTGCTGTCTACATAGGGGGTTAGGTTGGTATAACTGCTCCTCAGGAGTGTGGATTCTTCACACCCCGAAGTGACGTAGTTATACCGATATAGGTTTGTAATGTAGACCAGACCTAAGCCTGTAAACCCCCACAGTCAGGAGAGAAGCATTACCACATGGGAAATACTAGTTTACCACAAGAGGTGTCATCTCCTCCCCAACAAAAGAAGACCTATAGACACCAGACACACCATTGTGGAACATCAGGGGTGATTGCTTCTCTGACAACCATGAAGAGGGTACGTGCACAAGCCCTTGTCCCATCACAGCTTGAATGCTGGGGGAAGGGAATAAAAATCCCTGTTAAGAAGAAATTATCATCATTATGCTGCTTAGAATTCAGAGAGAGCAATACTCCTAAGTATAAGCAAAAGATTCCCAAGAGGTTTAGTTTGGGTTAGCCCTAAAGGACATACTGAGCTTGTATATATAGCAGCTACTATTAGCTTTCGGAACCTAAGACTGTAACTCATTTGTGTGTGTGTTTGCCTTCTTTAACCTTGTAAATAACTCTCCGATTTCTTGTTCCTAGTTAATACACCTTTAGTTAGTTTATTACAGGATTAGCTACAAGAGTTGTCTTTTTGAGAGATCTAAGGTACAACTGACCTGGGGTAAGTGACTGCTCCTTTGGAACTGGGAATAACCTGAATATTATTGTGATTTTTAGTGTAAGGGACCATCTATCACAAAGGCAGGCATGCCTGGCTGGCAAAACCAAAATGTCCCAGGGGACTGTCTGTGACTCCATGTTAAGGTTGTTACAGAGCTTAAGGAGTTCACACTTGATACTTGGTTGGTGAACTCTAATTACAGAACGCCAATTTGGGGTTTGTGCTCTGCTTCTTCATAGTCTGCCCTGAGGTTGGTACCCATGTTCGTGAGCCGGTTCAGGCCTAAATCAGCTCTAATGTCTGGCTACCATTATCAGGCATAACACTGGGTGCTTGTTCCATGGAGACTGCAGTTTGTATGGTTTTTACTAATCACCAGGAGAACAAGATCTAGAAGCCTTTGTATTCTGTTGTTATTCACAGATACTTGCAGATCACTTTTAAAAATGAATTATGCTGAAGGAAAAATGACTCCATCTTTCAATGTACTATTCTCCATGCCTAAGAAGTAGGAAGGAACATCTTTACCTTTATTGTTTTCCAAAAATGTTCAGTATTCTGTGTGTGTGTGTGTGGGGGGGGGGGGGTTACTCCCAAAAGTCCCCAGAAAGGCCAGTCTTCTGTATGTGTAGACTGAAAGGCTGAGGTCACATGTCTTCCAAAGTAGAAAAGCATCTAGCAAGGGGGAACTACTATGACAAAAATGAAGTGTGGGTAAGGACACACATATAATGAATATATATGGTACCATGATTGAGTCAAACTTACAACTTTCCAGTTCTAAAGAGCAGTTCTGAGTGTCCAGAGGGAATCGGCTGAAATCCATAAAACACATGGAAGAAACTGTAATCCTACAATAAGGACCAGAAAACAATTGTTGAAGGTAATTTTCACTATTCCTAAGAGGAATTTGTGACTTTGTAGACAACTTATTGTGGACCCTGGGGTCACTGTGGGGTTTCAAAAGTTTTCTGATCTTTGCCATTTTGAATTACGTATTCTAAAATATCTTTTTTGATTTAAAGGTAAATCCAAACCAGTGGGAGACTTTTTTTTTTTAAATAGAATTTTCTTATTACTGTTTCACCCCCAATTTTTAATCTCTCCACTGGCTGGCTCCCCATTTTCGACCATAGAAAGTTAATGTTGCTTGCTGTCACTTTTTGAATTCTTCATAGTTATACTTCAAAATTTACACTTTAACAGGATCAACAGGGGGAAGTTCAGAATTCTGGCTGCTATTATTTCCAGTCTTTCTGACTCCAGAGCCAAGGAGCCATCAGTGCAGAGGATATTCTTCTGGAGGGTAATTTCACAACTAGAAAGGCTATAAAATACAATTTCATAAAAAGATAAACCCTGATTTTCAAGCTCCACCCACTCACACTGGGGACTTCACATAGAAAAGTGCTTAACACTTTTTATGCATGAATGTTTGAAAATCATTCTAAAAAATGTAGGAAAATCCAAGCAAAGATGTTAATTCTGTCATTCCATCTGCTTTTCCATGAATGTGTGGAGGATCAGTGTCCCTGACATTCTAGCCAATAAACCTAAATAAAAGGTTAGAGGCAGCAGTTCATATATAAATACTGTTTATAGTTCTAGTTATTGCTAAATTTCCCTGTGCTGTCACAGCCTGCTTGACATTTTGCTTTGATCTTCCAGAGACAAACCCAAATTGAATTTTACTGTGCTTATAATTGAATTTCAATGACTAATGGCTGGTAACTGCATTGTGGATGGATGTTTACAAGTGTAGGAATTTATGTGATTGAAATAAGGCTTTGAAGTTGACACTTTAAAATAATGTATAAAATTTGTACCTCTGTGGGTGCAGTTGTTTCAGTCTATGTAGCTGCAGAAGATTCAATAAACCAGCAGCTGTATATTGACTGATTGATAGAATGAAGATAAGATTATCAAGAATTTTTTTAAAAAAACATGAAATCCTAGATTCTGGACGTTTTAGATAAATCTGTGGACTATGCACATTTTCCACAAATAAGGATTTGGATTACATCCTAACCTAGGATGTGATATCAAAAGATGCTTTTTATGAACATATGATTCTTTAAGAAGACAGGCATTAATATAGCAAAGACTATAGACACACTGTATGACCTTAATCATTATAAAGCTTTTCAAAACCAAAGAATGTTTCCTTTGATCGATTTCACACAAGGAAATATACTGCACTAAATTGAAAGCAGACAGTCTCCTAACGGACTTTGTGATTGGCAGACATAAAAATCTTGCAATCTGTTTAAACATTATGTGTGTGTGTCTGTGTGTGCACGCATGCATATACATATATTTGACTACTACTCTCCAGACAAATAACTGAAATGCTTGGGGAGATCTCAGAACTATTGGTGTCAGGTAGCGGGGGAAGTAATAATCGCTGTGCCTCTAAATTTATTCTGTGGCCTATATTTACTCTGTGGCCTATGTTATACGGGAGGTTAGATAGACAGTTGCAATGGTCCTTTCTGGTGTAGGAATCTATGAAATTTCATCTCTATGCAGAGGGCCAATACAAGGCCTATGCACTATTTAAGTCCAGATTAAATGGGATTTATGTAGTTCACAGGCCCCTGCGCTGGGGAAAATTTCATCCATTAAGATCATCTCTGCGACGTCATACAATGTACATAAGACTCCTCAATAAAAAATAAACGATACATTGCAGATAATAAGGGGAAGTTTAATGATGCAGCTATTGTCTAAAACATTACCAATTTCTTGTAGGGAAATTAGGGCTTCTTTAACAATTTTAAGTGCTGCACAGTTGATATCAACTCCAATAATCTGCTCTGACTGTTTGTGTGGAACTCCTATTGATATTGTGGCAATGCTGTGCATGTACCATGGAGAGAAGATTTCAGGGCTGACATCATTAATGCAGAGCCAAGGGGAGAATTTTGTTCTCTGTTAGCAATTTCTGACTTTATTACAATCACTGGACAGAAATGCACAAGAAGTACTGCAATATTAATATAGCCATTGACATTCATGGTAGTATACAGTGTTGCTCTCAGGATATGGGACACACGAGGTGGGTGAAGTAATATCTTTTACTGGACCAACTTCTGTTGGTAAAAAGGACAAGCTTTCAAAGGTCTGAAGAGCTCTGTGGAGCTCGAAAGCTGATCTCTTTCACCAACAGAAGTTGGTCCAGTAAAAGATATTATCTCACCCACCTTGTCTCTCTCATTAACAGTAGTAGTTTTTTAATAGTAGCAATCTCTTATATCTGATGTCTTTACGTATAAATTTTTAAAAAATGAACAAGATGTAAACATTCCCACCATCCCACCACACAAACTACAGAAAATGTTTAACAGGGGAATGAAAGGAAATTTTATAAGCTGTAATGTCAATTCTGGATTTATTTTCATAGTGGTAAACTAGGAATTTCAAATACTTGGAAAATCACATTAGCTGACACAGAGCTTGTCTTAGGTATTGACAAACAGGTAGTCACCAGTTCCTAGGGTCACCTTAGTGAAAACAGGGATTAATGCCGATCCACATCTCTGAATCTTGAGGAGGTGTTTAAGGTCCCTTATTTCCTTATTTGGAAAGGACCAATGTGACTTTTCGTCAGCCCTGAGCTGCCACCTTATACACAACAGAACCTGTGACAACCCCAACATATTGGGCAGATAAAAAAATAAACCACTTTGAAAACTCCATATTTAACCACAAGGATTTCAGATAATTTCTCAGTTCGACAACTTCTGAGCTTGCTCTGCTCAGGCAGGAGGCAATCCTGTAGCATTTTGCTGCTGATAGTTATAGGGGGGATAACTGTCCTTACCTTAGGCTGAAGAGTACATTGCCATCAGGGTACACTCGGAGCATTATATTCTCCATAGTTGTATCATGGATGAAAGATCTTTTGGAATGGACAAAAAATACATCAGGTACCCAGATCTTTTTGATCAGTCTTCCATCAAAGGTCATGCTTCTGTTTTTGGTACTAGGAAATGAAAGCCTCTCATCCTTCCAGTAATGTCTGAGGTATAAGGTCATCGTGAAGTCCTTTGCATAAAGAAAATTAAGAGGAAGAGATGTGTGTGTGTTTTCCTGGTTCTGAATACAGCAATAATAACCAGTACACCTCATCAAAACTTGATGACTTTGAACTACTTCTGCTCTGGGTTTCAGGAGCAGACTTCTCAAACCAGAGAGAGCCAAACCAAAGCCATGCAGTGAGAGCACAACACAGATGGAAGATATTTTGAGATGTCTGCTGTTTGCCCCGGTTAGGTGGTACTTACAGTTCAGCCAACAAAGGGCCTGATTTTGAAGCCCATACTTCTTTCTTACACAAACAAAACTACCACTGATTTCAATGGGCTGTTGGATTGGGCCCAAAGTATAAAACAGTCCCCAAAAGAAAATAGCATTTTAGTAAGTAGGATAAAAGCAACTGAAATTGCTCTACAGCCCTTCCACTGAACTTTTTGCTGTTTTCTCTTGATGTCACATTAACGCCTCATTTTTATCATCTGCAGCCAATAAATGAGTTCGTATTATCTAAAATATACAAGAACACATTCTGATTTCAAGTTAACCCAGTAGATTTACATGAATGTTACACCAGATTTGCACCACGGTAACTAAAATCAAAATTTGACTCAAAAATGTAACCTATTGGCACCTGGACCCTGAATAACATATTAGAACTCACAATAAATGAATGGATTTGTGTACACATACTATTACAGGTGAGGCTGGCAGCACCACCTATTATTAATGTGGCCCAACATTTCCCTTATAAGTACCTGTGTGTGTCCTATAACTTAGCCAAACTTCAGCTGAAATTGAGTCTCTGCCTCAAAATGAATTTTTTTTTTTTTTTTGGAGAACTTTAGCCAACATCATTTCCAAGGCTAAGGAAAAATATGTTATTTTGCAATGTTAATTTTTTTTCTATGAAAAGCTTCAGTACCCCCTTTCTTTGGAGAATTTGAAATATGGCAAGGGGTGGCCTTTGTGTCAGGGATGTGTCTTTGGCCGTTCCTTTAAAAATCTACCCAAATTTGGCCAAATTATAAGACTTTGAAAAATGTCAGTTTGCACATGCTAAGCAGAGACATCTTAGATTTTGAGCAGCTAAATTTCCGGAAGATTCCATGTGCCCTGAGCGCCCCCCATCCCTTCACAGTTCTTACGTGTGAGGAGACTACATGTGCACCATCCCCACAGAGTAACTGAGCATCATCCAGACAGGGTTGTTGGGAACACTGGGGCATGGCCACTAGGTAACTCGAGGGGATGGAAGACCACGAGTGTCGATGAAGCCCCCTCGCACTAGGCCCCGGTGTCCTTGGCCCCCCCCCTCCTGCCTGGAGGCACTCGCAGCAGCTCTGCGTGCTAGGCCCAAGTGTCCTTGGCCCCCCCGCCTGGAGGCACACACAGCAGTTATGCTGAGAATCTGCAACAGTATGTTGCAGAGTCAGACTGCCTGAAACTAAGCAAGGCCAAACAGGGGAGATATGGAAGAACAATGCTGAATAAAGCAGCTTTATGTATAGTTTAACAAATGATACAGAGAATCAGGGAACTAGCTGGGAACTGGATTGGCTGGCTATATGGATACTTGGAGCAGCTTGCTATTGGATAAGTATGCTGGGAAAAAGGATGTATAAAAGCCTGTGTAACTTCCTGCTCTGTGGTACAGGATTTGAGATTCAAATCTCCCTGTACCTTTTTGAAGCTTCAAATAAACTTTTCTGCTTCTCCACCCCGTTGTGATTATTGGGTGTAGCACACCGGGTAACGAACCAACTCAAGCTGTTGTTCAGCCTCTCGGCACTGGGTGCCGGCAACAGGGTGAAGTGGACTTACCCTGTAAAGGCAGCTCCAGGCCAGAGTGGGGCTGAGCACCTGAACTGAGAGCAGGGGGCCTGTTCTACTGTGCTCTCAATGACCCCACATGCTGACACTCAAACAGTATGGAGGAAGCGGCCACTTGAGTCAAATGGAGGGGGGACAAAAGCCAAACCTGGAGAGCTGGAGGAGAAGTCGGGGGAGTAGATTAGGACCAGAGGCTGGCAAGTGTGGGGAGGGAAACTAGGAGTAGGAGCTGTGGAGGAAACAGGGGGAGGGGCTGGAAGCCAGTGGGAGTGGAGAGGCTGCAATTGTATGAGGAGCTGTGGAAACTGAGACTGGCAGGGCAAAGAGACTGAAACTGGGAATCAGTGGATGAGGAAAAGGAGGTGGAGCGTGTGTGGAGACAGATCTGACAAGAAGCCAGGATCCAAGGGAGAAGAACTGAGACTAGTTAGGAAAAGAGACTCAGACAAGGAGGCAGGGGAGGCAGGGACACTGAGACTGGAGGATAACTCTGGGAAGAGAGATTTGGGGGAAAGGGGCATTTGAAAGCAGGGAGTAGAGAGACAGATCAGGGTGTGTGGGGGACTGAGATTGGCTGGGAAAGGAGCCTGTGGACAAGGAGCCAGGGGACTGGGAATGGCTGGCAAGAAGACTGGGAGTGGGAGCTAGGAGGAGATTGGTATGAGGAGTCCAAAGGAGTGAGACTAGGATTTGCTGGGCAAGGAAACTAGAATGAGAAGCCTGAGGAACAGAATCTGGGATTGGCTAGGTGAGGAGAATGGGACTAGGACAAGGAGCTGGGGGTGGGGAAGAGATGGGACTGGGACAGGTTGGAAGGGATGGGGCAGAAGTGGCCACACTTGGAGGAAATGAGCAGAAGAGTCTGTCCCCCACTGGAACACACTCCTCCTCCACAGCCTAGAATGGAAACCAAGATACCCGAGTCTCACCATTTTTCTGTTGCAGAAAATATCTGTGAAACCCACTGGCAAAGCCGGGGTCTCATTCTCTTCTACTGCTGATCCACACAGAGGATAGCAACACGCTACTGCTATCAGTTATTCTATTAGCTCAAGTGGCAAACGTCTGTGCAGTGGATCTAGAGCAGTGGATCTCAAACTTTTGTACTGGTGACCCCTTTCACACAGCAAGCCTCTGAGTGTGACCCCCCCTTATAAATTAAAAACACTTTTTTCTATATTTAACACCATTATTAATGCTGGATGCAAAGCAGGGCTTGGGGTGGCGGCTGACAGCTCGTGACCCGCTGTGTAAAAACCTCACGACCCCCCCCACCCCCAGTTTGAGAACCCCTGATCTAAAGGTTCCAACCCTGCTGATGAACCATGTGGGTGTCAATAGGATACCACATGATGGAATTTCTGGTTTTTTTCAGTTTGCTTTTTTTAAAAGCCTAGGAAATTATACACACACAGACTATGCTTAAAGAACGTTATTAAGACTGAAAATGGTCAAATTATAGGTCCTATTGACTTCAGCTGCAGATGTGAGTGCTCAGCACTTGTTCATATTAGACCCTGTGAAAATGAAGGGGGCGAGGGTAGCTCCCTTTTATGGACACCCACCCAGCCAGCAGTTATAAAATCCCTCTTAGTAGCTATTCTCTAATTGCTCTACCTATAAAAGGTTAAAAAGTCTCACTGCTATCCATAGGTAAAAGGAAGTGAGTGGGCACCTGGCCAAAAAAGCCAATGGGAAGGCTAGAACTTTTTAAAATTGAAATAAGACCCCCCTTTTGTCTGTCTGTTGTTGTTCTCGGGGAGAGGCAGACAGGGAGCAGTTACGCTGTGAGAAGCTTGGGCCAGGTATGAAAAATCATCAGTATCATACCTAGAAACTACTAATCTAAACCCCCAGATATGTAAGTAGATCAGGAAATGTCTAGGAAGACGCTATGACATTTATCCCTTTTATTTCTTTCCGACTTGTGGATTCCTCTGTGCTAACCCCAGGTGCTTTTGTTTTGCTTGTAACCTTTAAGCTGGACCTCAAGAGAGCTATTCTTGATGCTTAATCCTTGTAGGGTTTTTTTTAATATAGCAAAAACCTAAGTTCCCAGATGTATTTTCTTCTTTTTTTATTAATAAAATTTACCTTTTTAAGAACAAAATTGGATTTTTGTGTCTTAAGAGGTTTGTGCACCTGTTGTTTAATTAGCTGGTGGCAACAGCTGATTTCCTTTTTTTTTTCCCCTCAGCTCTTCTCCGGAGTGGGGATGAAAGGGCTTGAGGGAACCCCACAGGAAGGAATTTCCAAGTGCACCCTCCTGGGTTCTCAAAGGGGTTTTGCACTTGGGTGGTGACAGCATCTACCAACCCAAGGTCAGAGAAAAGCTGTAACCTTGGGAGTTTAATATAAGCCTGGAGTGGCCAGTATTAATTGTTAAACTCCTTGAGGGCCCCCACCTTCTGTACTCGAAGTGCCACAGTAGGGAATTAGCCTTAACAGACCCCAGGGTCTCAAGCAAGGCACTGAGAAAATGAGGAATACAAAATTAGTGACCATCTGTGAAAAGTCTGGTTTAAGTGAATTGCCCAATATTACATATGCAGAGATAAAATCCATTTCTCCAGGGAACATTCAAACTGCCATAACCATCAGAACATCCTTTCTCTTCCTACAGTCCCCTGCCTCATTCAACACGCATCTTTCAGCTTCTGCAACAAATAAGACAACGGTACTACAGACAACAGTCTTCTTCATTACACAACCCTGAGCCATCTCCAGAGCAGGTCCATCTTGTGCACTGAATGAGGCATGGGTCCTGTGGGGAAAAAAATAGCATGTGATCATGTAATTAAAGATAGTATCTATCATCATGCATATACACAAGGGGCCCAAAGTACGGTTCCATTTTTAAAAATATCTCTCTCACACCAGTGTTGGTGTACGGAGTGCAAACCGGTGTCTTCCATTCCTCTCTCTCATTTACTGCTGCTTCCATTTGCTCTATGGAGTTGACATCAACTCTTTTGCCCTCCTTGCTAAGAGTTCTTAAGATTTCTCTTGGGCATCCTCGCTTCCTCATACCAATTGGTTTCCATGTGACAGCTACAGAGGGAGTCTGTGTACTGGCACCCAGAATACATACACTGAATATGTCCAGTGTTTCCTTCTGATGCTGGTAAAAACAACCTGCTGATTTCTCAGATCTCTTGGTTGGTTATGAATAAGGCTAC